CATTGAAAAAGGACTTTGCTATTGTATAAATGTATGCTCTGTAACTAGAAGTCATAGCTGAGAACTTTGTATTTGAAATCTTGTACTTCAAATTCCATGCCAAATTTTTAAATACTGTTTTGAAATACAACTGCAAGAATGACATAACTATCTCTTGCAGGTTGTAGCAATTAAGTCTTTATATTTAAAGTACTTATTCTCTCCTGTCCTCTTCCCATTTTCCCACTCTCCTTGACATTCTGTGTTTAGGCAGTAACTCAGCATTTCTTCGCGTCGTACGATGTAGATCTCTTTCTGAAGAATATGGACTGAGTACTTCAAACAAAGATGAGATCAGTAAGCAGATTTCCCATGATTTATTTGTGTCCTTTTGTGGTGTTTTCATGTACAAATAAATCTGTTTGATATAGAAGAGATACAGCCAAGTTTCTGCTTTCTCCACTTTTGCTGTAATGTAGAGACAAGATTTTAGTTGCAAGAAACATCCAAGATCTGATCTGAGGTCTGAAAATCTGAGACCCCAAAGAAACTTTGAATTTGAGTATGTTGTGAATAGAATGCTGTAGTCGTGAATCACACATGTAGCTTGTTTTTACTGTTTAATATAATACTTTTATTCAGTGCTTTTTTTGTCATGTAGGCTATATGTTCTTGCCTATAAATATGTAACATGACAGAGGGTGGATGCAGAGAATAGATAGGAGGAGATATAATTATGATATGGAAACATTCTCATAGCAGATGGATCATGATCTGTGAGAAGTTGAGGAATAGGAAACATATTTAGTTAAGTTAATCTCAAGCCTTTAACAATTGATCGTTAGCAATTTACATGTTGTTTTGTTACTTGAAGCTTCCCATATGGATAATCCAGATAGTGAAATGGTGCTGTATCTAATGTTACGAGCTGTGGACAGATTCTTTAAACACAATGGTAGATACCCTGGTAAGATTGTTTTCAATATATCATATACTTTCAGAGATAAACGTGAATACTTTCTGTAATAGAGATTTAATAGCACTCTGTTCAAATTTATAAATGCATCACAGATTGAAGTTTTAATATTTACTGTATATATCATAATTTGTGTATGTTTGACAAATCCAATGTACTTTAAAGGCTTAGTGAAAGACATTACTTTTCTGCTTAGTATATTTTTCTGTGGGATAGAGTATTATTCTCTTCTCTAACTAAATTATATTTCATTTACTTGCAATCAAATGTTAGTTCTGTCTATGATAATCATTTCTTCTTGTCAGGGGTTTATAACTATCAAGTGGAGGATGATATTGGAAAACTGAAATCTTGCCTCAATAGTTTTCTTCAGGAATATGGATTGCCTGTAACAGTCAAGGATGATTATGTCCATGAATTGTAAGTGTTAAATTACAAACATACTTTCCAAGACCTTATGGTGCATTATAATATGGCAACTGTTGTTATTTTCCTTTTGTAGTTGTCGATATGGAGCTGCCGAGCCACACACTATAGCAGCATTTCTAGGAGGTAAAAAGATTGCTATTTTCATGTGTCCATGTTGAACTACAAGCCAGTTTACATGCAAAAAGATTTAGTATGTCTTACATTGATACTACTTTTGCATTCTCATGTCTGTTGTACTAATATCTTTATGTTGATTAAAGGGACTAACTATTCATTATACTGATATAATTTCCTTTGCTCTCATAAAAATGTCTCAGATTTAAAATTATTTCCAAAGTTTATACATGTACAATAAGACTAGTTTGTACTCTATAGTTGTTAGTATATTTTGATATATGCACTGAGATATTAAACAAATTAGCTCTATACTGCAGCCATTATTCTTTTGTGGCAAATCTTAGATGCACGTAAAACTCCCCAGATTAAATTGCCTTGTTTGAACCTGGAATCACAAATAATGAAGACTCTAGCATACATTTCTTAGGGAACAAAACTTGGTAATTGAATTTTCCAATACCTATTATCCCACTTCTCTTATTGATGATATGTTCTATAAAGGGTCTCAACTGACAAATTCAGATTATGTACAAGCTTATGCCAGGAAAGACTTTTGCTACGATTTTTTATCTGCCAGAGATTGAGCATGGAAAAAGTGCAATTGGCCATTGAGCTGAGTCAATCATGAGAGTATTCATGCTTTATGTCTACCCATTGGTGATTTTTAAAAAAAAGTAGTGCTAGAAAATAGGCATTTGGATTTGAATCAATTGGCTTGTAAATGTGTCAGTTCTGTTATATATTTTTAATTTGTCACTCCTTGGCGGTTTTACAGGAGCTGCTGCTCAGGAAGTTGTGAAAATTGTTACCAGGCAATTTGTAATATTTAATAATACCTACATTTACAATGGGATGTCTCAGACCTCAGCAACATTCAAACTGTAAACCGGCCCACTACATTGTTGGAATCTGTAACTGCTTTTGATTTGCATTTGGTTCTGTTAAAAGTATTGCTAAAAAGAATGTATAATGCCAGTTCCTTTCTTTGTATTATTTTTGTCTTTCTAAATTCTTTCAAATTGTAATAAAGAATGTATCTTGCATTTTAATAAAAGACACTGGAAGATAGAAATTATGGCTTCTTCAAAATGTGAACAGATTACCTACATTGATTCTCCATGTTTTACATATATTTGTTGTGAGGAGAGGCAGTTGGAACTGAATTTAGTTCTTCACAAAAAACATAGGCTGGCTTACAGGACTCAGGAAAGTATTTTTAAACATTGTGCTAAATAGATAACTGTTTGAAGAAAATGTGCAGTAGTATTAAGTACAATGTGTTAGAGCTTCATGAGATCTTCAGACAGTTGCTTGCAGCATTCAGATATACTCCATGAAAAGACTTGTTTACAAAGAGGATTGGACATTCATTGAAAGTGAAAAAAAAGGCAGATTTTTCCTTTCTATTGCTGACACCAGTATCTTTTTGCACATTGTGCTGGAGGTTTTCACAATGCTTAGAGCAGCTTTTGGGGATATTTGGCTACAGTGGAATGGAGCTGACAAAAACCACTGCTCAGATTTTCCTCTACGATACAGCTGTGGTCTAAATTCTAGATCCCACTCACTATAATATATAGTGTTATTCTCAACATAATGAATGTGTCTTCAAACCATTAAGAAAACATAAAACATTTTGGAAAAAGATTCATGATATTATAATATATTATTCTGATTTACATACAATAAACATTTTAATGGGTCGTGTACGTTTTATTTATTTATTGAGAAAAACTCTTTAAAAATGGCTAATCTTAAAACAGAACATTAGAAACACTCAATTTGAGACTTGCTTATATATAGGTATTTCACTAGGTTTTTCACTCAGTTAGTAGCTGCACACTAAGTTTGAAAATAGGGTTAAGTAATCTTATTTTTGAAAGGACATTGTGGGTTATTGGTAAAAGAAAGTCTGGTTTCAATTGTCATAAGTTGAGGACTACCAGTACAGGAGACAAAGTTGCAGCCTCATCACACTCGGTATATAGTGGGAAGATGGCCACAGGGTAATATCCCAGGCAATCCATTCTTTCGGTGGGAAAAGGATCTGCCATCATTGCTTCCCTGCCAGGAAAAAAACCTGCACAAATTTTAAACAGGGAAACAAGAAAGAGGCAAAGTGTTCAGACTTGCAAAAGCTGCACCAAAGTGGCTAATATTGGAAATGCAGATAGATAGCCTGCAGATTTCCCATCACCCAAGGCCTTTTCAACCCTGCCAGCCAAGCTCCGAGGCAAATTTAAAAGCTTCCATTTGCTTCCTGGGTTTGGCTTCCTTCCAAGCCAGCTGAGTAGTGGGCTCTGAACTAAGAATGCTGGGAGTTGTAGTTCCAATTTACCTGGCAGACACCTGGTGGTGGTGGGGGACTGCTATTGAATGACATAGGCAGATTGGCAAGAGAGGGTTGTTTGCGTATGTGAGAGGCAGAGATGTATTTATTTTAAAGAGATTTGGTACAAGTGACCTTCAAAACAACCCACTGCATTGAAAACCTGTATAAAATAAGGCATTATTTTATAATTCTCCTTTGGCGTAGCTAGAGATGTCTTTTTTGGGCCTTGTCTGCACTTATTTGTGATTATTTTGGAAAAGCGCCCCATTTTGCATGAGAGAAGCTCGGGCCTTAAATTCTAATTGCAGATATTCTCAGAATTGATTCAGTCTCATCCTGTTTTTACTGGGTGGTATCGAATCTCTCTATATTGTTTCCAGTGGAAAAAGTGTATGGTTTTGACCTCAAATATCCATTTTATTCTTCAAGAAACCAGGAAGATGTTTTCAGTTAAAAAGGGCTGACAGGCCCCATTTGCTGGTTTCCTATGTCTCATGATGTCATAATATGGCTGCTTGATTGGAGCTTAATTTGTTTATAATTCAGCCCGGGGATGTCTGCAAAAAAATCAAGATGGCGGCCACAGAATTGCCCTTGGAACTTCATCTGTTTTGTTTTGGTTTTTTTATGCTGCCGATTTGACTTTGTTGCCTTAAAATTCAGGCACCCCTGAGTGGCGTGGAACTGAATCTATTCCCTGAATCTGAGAGACAAAACATTTTTATCTTTGCACAGGAGGCTTTTTTTGCCTACCTGAAATTGCAAGTCATTAAGTAATTCAGGCAAAGTAAAAAAGTGTTTATTAAGGGGGGGCTCAAGTCTTTTTATAAGGTACAGAAATAATTGTTAAATATATTTGGTATATGTGATACATTAGAAAGCAAGTGATCAAAGACATGGATTACATGTGAGAATTGATCAATAGAAAAAATTGGTTCTAGGTAATGTTCCACAAGTGGCAATTTTATGGGTTCACTTATAAATTTAATTATTCCTTTTTCCAGATGGGTTTGTATCTTGCAAGTGTATTGGAGAATTGAGATAAAAAGGATAACAAATTGGTAAACTGAATATATTTAGCATACGTTTTTTTATTTCTAATGAAGAAATTATGTGTTTTATTTCTCCCTCCTTTATTATAGATAAAGGCTGAGAAAAAAAATCAAAATGGAAAATAGAAAAGATCAGAAAATTAACTGTGGTAAGATTGGCATACATATAATATATTAAAGAATGATATTTAATCTGCTCTGTGTATTCACAACTCTGGAAAGAGTTCTTTTTCTGATATTTGTGAATGCAAATGTAAATTCGAACTTTCATATAGATAAAGATAAAGATTAACAACAGCAATTCCCATTTATTAAAAAAGTAAAAATATTTCTACTTAGTAAATACACTAACTACTAATTGTTTGAAATATTGATAAATACCTTAATATTGGTGCATTGCAATTGTTTGTTATAGATGGCAAGATTCTACCATTAATTGCCAACTTTAAAAAAAGAAATTCTAAATATTTTGAAACCATTATTTTATCCTTCTAGATATGAAAACTGATCTGAATTTACTCCTTGAATGTCTTAAGTATCAAATGGACCATCCAGCTTCTCAAAAAGAAGTCTTGGTTACTATTTATTCAGTTTGTCAACAAAACAGTAAGCCACTGAATTTTACAGTTATAGCTCTATTGTGTTTGTTTTGCTCTTTAGGATTAATAGTATGGAAATAAATAAATCTATTATTCACTGGATTTGTTTTTGCTACAGGTGCTGCCTGTGATTATTTTAGAGAAATAGGTGGTTTGATGTTTGTATGGAATCTTGCAAAGTCACAATTGCACAGTTTGGTTCAAGAAGCTGCTTTATTTACATTAGGAGGTTTAGCTGAGAATAATGGTAAGACACAATTTCATTCTCATTTCACTATATTATTTTTTCATGTATTTACATTCTGTTTTATAATGTTTGTTTTGATTGATCCATGTTTGGAGATCATTACTATATAGTGTGCATTTAAAACATTTTACTATTTATCTAAAATCTATCACCTATCTAAAATCTGTCTAAAATCTATCTAAAATCTGATCACCTGAAAAATATTTTTACTAAGGAAATCTCCATGTAACAGATGGAGGGACAGAAGATGGTGAGCCAGCTATATTTTAAGTCACCAGATGTTTAAATGTCAGCTTTTGTTTTCTACAGAAGGAAAATAAAGGATATAAATATTTAGTGAACGCTATGAAAATACTTCATCATTCTGGTTGATTTAATATCAATGCACTTTTAAACTCATAAGTGATTCTGTAAATATTAAAGAAGAGAGGCATAAATGAAATAAATACTTGGACTCTTGGTTGCTATGAAGTTACTTGAACTCCCATCAAAACAAGCTTCCTAAAGGTCACTGAAAACACTCTTAGAATACAATTATATTCTTATCTACTTAGAACTACTCTCAAGTGAGTGCATATAATGTTACAACCTGAAGGACTTTTTACTGCAATCTTTCAACAAAAATTGAGTATAATTTCTGCACTTGAATAAATTGAAATATTTTATGTTCCCAAAGCTACCATTATAACGTAGTTCTAGTCGTATTTTTGAAAAGTAAGTTCCATTAGGTAGGTGAGAACAGGAATTATAGTCACTATATTTGTTCAATTGTGCATAATTATCAGAACATTTAATTATATTTGATCAGTTAATGCCATGCAATATAGTCTTATTCATATTATATTTATTTTTTTTAGTGTTCTGCCAGCAGATGTTATGCACAGCTGAATTATTTGAGGATCTTCGTACGTTTCTAACTAATAAGAATTCTAGTATGAATTTGAAAAGAATGTCTGTATATGTCTTATTGGTGCTGGTTTCAAATAATAGTAAGATTTTTTTTTCTTCTCCATGTATAAAGAAATTGTTCAAACACATATACAGGTAGTCCTCGCTTAACGATATGAAGTCTGCTAAGATTAGTCCCCACCTAATTGGGACTCATTGGGATGAATCAGAAATTCTGGCTTGTTTTACGTAAAATGTTGAAAATTTGCAAATACTCATTAGATTCCATTGAGTTATTAGTTGCTTAATGTTTGTTCTATTTGTTTTTTTTAAATGTTACTTAAAAATATAGACAGTGGACAAACATATGTGAGAGAATCTGGATGCCTCGATATTCTGCTACATTTATTCAGGTAAACTAACAAAAAAAATCAATTAAAACGTACGTTTTCATAGGCCTAAATGACTTTTTTCATTCTTTGCCATCTATTTTCTCTAACAGAGTAATTCCTTCAGAATCTCAGATGAACCTTTTTGATCATAAAATTGATCAGTATCACTTGTGGTCCTCAGTGTGTAGTAATCTTTGCGCATGTGTCAACAATCCTCAGAATGGTAATTATTTTATCAAGCATTTGCTTTTCTTATTTTTTTTTACAGTAAATATAGGTGGGGGGGATGACAAATGGCTCGTGTTCAAAGCATATTTTGTTCACCTCCAGAGGAAAATCAGAAAGCCTGCAGTTTGGTTTTTCCATATGCAAAAGATTGGCTACAAAATTGTATGAAAGCTGAGATAGTTCGTCCAATATGTTCATTCATTGGGCTCAGTGCTGCAAATAATTGTAAGTACCTATTAACACACACACTGTATGAAAATGTTTGTTCTGTGAAATAAAATATCATTCCTTAGTGGCATGATTTGATACATTGCACAAGCCAAAATGTTTGAGTTATTCAGAAAAACGTGATTTAGAAAATCTTGGTTTAAGGTTATGCAAGAACATGATTATTTTTTACAGTTTCTGCTGTACGTATTTTATGAATCTTTTGTGTAAAACTATGGAATAAACTGGTTTTATGTACATCAGCTTCATCTTTTGAACTTCTTCATCTAGCTCAGTTACAAAGGAGGTTTTTGAATCTAATGGTATTAAGTTTATTTGAGATTCCTTTATACGTTTTTCAATAGTTAGGATTGTGTTTTATTTATCTATTTTAACATAATTAAAGAACTAATAAACATCGCTCCTCCTTCCAAATCTTGAAAACAAATATATTTATTTATAAATCTTCACCTTAAAGCAATCTGGTAACTGTTTATTGTTTGGATTTTTTTTTTCAAGCAAGAACACAGAATTTTTTTATTTCTATTGGGGGATTAGCTGTTTTGGATGAGCTTCTTCTCAAACTGATACATGGTTCCTTGGTGAACAATACAAATATCAAACTTGCTGTTGTAGTGACAAAAACATTGGATGCCTGTATTGCTGATAACGGTAAGTAGTTTCTGTTCGTAAACTTACAGTTGCATAGTACTAATAAAGGAGAATATTTGATCATAACCACAGGTGATACTGATCAAATTTATGATTGAATCTTTAATTTCACAACATATGGACAGATTTAACCACAGTTTCAATTGGGAAAATGTGACCATCCTAGACCAAGCCAAGTCCAAAAACGCCAGGGAACTTCTAGAAGCCTGGCACTATGACAAATCATCCATCAATAGACACATAGACATTAAAATATCTAACAAACTATCATCCAGCCCAGAAAGGAACAAAAAGATGAGAGCACCTCTTCACCAGCAATCAGTACCCAGATCAGCATAGATTAATTCCAAGGTTAACATCAAACCCACAATCAAGTAAACAATACCCTAATCAAGAAACTAACAAAGAAGCCAACAGCAAACAGCCCAATCAAAGAATGATCCAGAAGGTTTTTCTAATTGTACAACTCTTCTAAATGTATAATAACTTTGCATAGTGTTTCATTCTATTGCATACCTAAAGAGGCATTTAAAAAAAAAACTGTTTTGTGTTTACAGCTTCAGTTGGCATTTATTTACCAAAGTATAACATTGTGCCTAATTTACTGAAACTGCTTTCTTACAACATTTTGGACTCAGGAGAGCGATTTAGTATTATACTTACTCTTGGACATTGTACAGAAGTCTGTGGTAAGATTCTTAACAATATATTGACTTATTTATTTAATTGAGGGTAGAGAATGCCGCATTCGAATTTCAACATGTAGTTTATAACAGTAAACGAGAATGACCGATAATCTATGACTGATTTTTGAAGTTTCATTTAGCTCTCATCTAAATGGAAAAATCAACCAAAATAAAATAGTGGAAGTTCCTAGTGATGTAAGTCCAATAAAATATATGTATGAAGTCATTCCAACAATTTAATAGAACTTTTCACCCTAAATGGGGCAATTTACAATTGTGCATGCATTTATCTGAGGGAGAAGTTCCGAGCAGACACAAAAAGGATTTGACAATATCTGGGAATTGTGCTTTAGTTAGCTTTACAAATTGTGGAATTATAGGAGTCATTCTCATTTCTGACCTCTGCCAAAATATGTACTGTGCATCTTGAACTACTACTGATTGTGTTTGTACATAATAGTATGCTATAGTTAGCTTAAAATGGCTTATTGAATAAACTAAAAATGGCTAGATTTATGCAACATAAGCCATAAACTGTGATTTACAAACTACAAGGCAGCAGTCCACAAAACACCTTAAATTATGCATTGCTTGGTGTGTGTGCTCTGTAACTGTCTTCCAGGATAACCTTTGGCTTGGATTTTTTCTAGATAACTATTGTAGTTCTAAGCTAATATTAAGTTCTTGAGTTTATGATGTATCCTAACTATCAACTGCTGATGGTAAATGTGACTTTAAATTTTAGATCTTACTGGTAGTTTGAGAATTGAGGTCACATGTTTCTGAGCAAAGTTGTGCTAAAAAATCAGAATCAATTGCTTTTTCTTGGAAAGATGTTGTAGATGATCTTACTTAATTTTACAGTTTGAACAAATATGTTTACTGAGGCTGATTTTTTTTAGAGGAAAATCAATATACTCTGGTTAAGAACAATGGGCTTCCACTTATGATTCAAGCATTGACTGAAATGCAGGATGATGAACTAAATAAAGCTGCTACCTTTGTATTGCAAAACTGCAAACAGATGAGTAAGATTATCATTATTTTGATTTCTGTATTTAAAATCACCTGGACAGGCACCTAAATAGTCATTTGCTTAGCTAAAGTTGGAAGTAACAACTGTATTCAAGTGCTCAGTATTTGAAGCTGTTGCAAAATCAATACTTTAGGTTGAAACTAATTGTATTTGTTAGACTGTTCTAGGGCTTGCAATGTATAGATTGTAAAGTATCATTTTATAATAAGTTTAATTTTGTGATTGAGAATGTGTTTTTGTAAAAGTAATGCTATAAATTAGTGAATGTTTCTAAAATTATCCTAGTGGCATCTAATGCAATGCCCTCAGATGTGTTATTCTAGGCTAAAACACTATGATTGCCGAATATGATTTCATCTTGAGATACCTGGATCAAGAAACTGTTATTAAATAGCATATTCGTGAATAAAAATTTATTTGATACAAATCAAAACTTAAATAGTGATGGAATGGAATGTATTAAGTCTTCGATACAAATTAAACACCTTTATTTTTGTATTAATAACACAATTATTTCTATTTTTCACAAGCTGAAAAATTATCAGTGAAGATAAATCGACATTCATTCCAAATGGATGAAAGAAGAATATTGGAAGCCGATTGGCAGAAAAAAGAAAGGATTCTTGAAGATTATTGGAAGGAAGCAAAACAAATTTTATACAAAATCAAAGGGCTTGAAAATGAGAAAGAGGTATTCCCCCTCCCCACTTCTCTCTCTCTTAGTCGTTTAGGAAATCTATCAAAATCAGAAAGCCTCTCCTGATATTCTCAGTAGAATCTGCTTGTATTGTTTTATTCCAGTCTTTCAGTTCTTGGAATGAATAATAACTCAATGAGCTATGCTTATTTGCATTTTAAAAATAAACGGAGTGAAATTCCATTCCCGTTAGTCAGTGTTTGATGGCCCTTTCTAGCTATTTTGGGTATTCTTTTACATGTAGGTTTGATTTCTTCAAAGTAGTTACTGCTGAGAGAAATATTCAATCATGATACTAAATTAATGGATTACTGTATAGCCATCCTATTGAGCTTTCTTGATAGAAGTTTTTCCACTGGCTTTCCTGTTGTTTTTACAGTCAAACAGAAGCTATAATTCTTGCTTAGTTCTGTTTAACATCTACAGTCATATTGGGCCTGGTCCTATCCTGCAACTTTGTTTTTTCTCTATGCTTTTGTTTCATTTCCCTGCTGTTTCCAAACATAGGAAAATATCAGAAAAGAAATATTAATCGATGAGGATAGCCCTCAAGAACAGTTTCTGCAGGCTTTGACCCAACATCGTCAAACGAATTCCAGCAAGCAGCCTTCAGATAACAGCAAAATATGTTCAGAAATGAAACACCCACCACACAGTACTATTGCTAAGCTGCAGAATACTTCTAAATACTTCGAAAAGAGTTCTTCCAGTAGAGGACAATTGAAGCCTGCCATTTGGAATTCAGCTGATGTTTCCCCCGCTCAAAATGATCACAATCTTCATGCAACTGAAAAAACGACAACTCCCAGCATAAACGAAGCTTACACTACAAATAAAAACAGTTTTCGTGGTTTCAGGAAAGGTGATGCTCAAACAAGGTACTGTAGCTAGGATCTGCTGTCTAAAGCTGGCTTGCTAATTTGATCTTAATAGGAAATCAGATTTTTCAGACGGAAATGTCATATTGGGTTGCTTCCAGATTTAATTATGCTTAGGATAGGTCCGGTTATTCTAAGTTACAAAGGGGCCCTTAACGTTATCTAATTCCTTTTTAAGTTTTGTGATGAATTCTGAACAGGCTAGAATGTTATCCTAATTGTATGGGAAACTTTGTTATCTAAATGTTTCTCTCAAAGATAGAAATCAGCGTGCATCTCTCATAATAATTCATGATTTCTAGATAATGCCACACACAGGAACAATGTGTGCTATTCTGTGAATTTTTCCTCGCATATAAATAATTAATTAGAGGGTGGGAGACTCTTCCAAATTTGAGTTTGAATGTAAAATATCAATTTGATCAGTGTAACAAAGAAATATTGTGTTGTCACCATGCAAGCCCTGCCTACTTGATACATGCCTGTCATACACATTATATGTGTATTCAAATGAGTTTGTGGCACAAAAGTACAACACTGGTTTTATCACTCGACAGACTCAGCTGTAGATACCCATGAATGAACACTGTAAGGTCTTCAGTTAGTGGTGCAATATGAAAGGTAACGTACTTTTGAGGCATCTGTCAAATCTCCAAACTAAAATTCTTAATACTTTTTTAATCTTTTCAGTGAATTTGTTTTTAAGAGACCAGATTTTCTAGTAAAAAGCCCAATGCAAAAGATTCAACATTCAGGTAGATATAATTTATCTAAATATTTTAATTTCAATTTGATTTTTAGAAATTATATATATATATTTATATGGATGGCTAAAAGGTGCACAGCTACATTCTGTGATACACTATTCAAAACAGCTAAGTGCTAGCATGTATAGAATATTATTACACCAATAGTAAGTTTTCTTTATATTGAAAATATGATTCTGATTCTTTTTAGCAATCTTTTGAAGGACTAGAATCAATATGTAAGCTAAATATTAACAATATTTGTTGCTGTATCATACAAAGGAAACTAGTATAGCAGAGTGATTAAATTGATAGGTCAAAAATTTAACCTGGGAATGTTAGTTGGCAATTAGTTTTTATATATTTTGGTGTGTATTACAGAATTTCAGTCCAATTCTTTTTAAATACGGTGGCAATGTACAAAAGTTAATACATCCATTGATATTAATGCATTTCACATTAGATATTTTATTTTTCAAGATCTAAAATATCCAAGGAACCCAAGCAGAGGGGTGGGCCATATTCTGACTGTTTCCCCTAAAATAAGAGAACTCAGATGTTCAGGTAATTTTTTAATTTTTTTAAAAAAAATATGCTCATAGATTTTTCTGTTCAAAAGGAAATCCCACTGAACTAAACAGTAATGACACCCCAAGTATGATTTCAGCCAGTCAGCCAGCTTATCCAAAGGAACCAAAATTGTTAGGAAGTCTGTGCAACATTCCTAATATTAGACATATTAATGTGGGTGTAGCAAGATGGCATGGATAATAAGTACAATTTTCTGGGACTCCCCCCCCCCCCACTGGCTATGCACTAATACCATGCTTTTGTTGGGGTTTTTTGCTACTATATAACTTGGTTCCTTCCTTGCCCAGCAGAAAAGTCCTATTTCGGCTTTTTTATAAGGATATAATTGACCTGTAGGGCAATATATCTGTAGATATATTGATCATTTTCCAATAAGCATTTTCTAGATTTAATGATGCATTTATCACAACGTGGTTAAAGCAGAAAATAAGAAATATTAAACAACGTAACGCCGTGCACCTGTAACGTTTTATTTCTATAATATTACATTCTCAGGTTGTAGAATAGGAAGACTTTCCTTAAACAGCCGAAACTTTAGCAAGACTCTGCAGTCTTGTCAATATCTATGTGAACAACACAAAATTATTCTAGAATCTGAGATGGAATATAAAAGGAAGTTGAGAAGCTCCATTATGGCTAACAAGAATACTTCTGCATATCACAATGGTAACCATGATGACCAGAGATTCAGTTATAAGAGAAACTCAACAACTGTGGAAGAATTAGGTGTGTCAAAGAACCTTTATCCCTTAGAGTAATATCTAGTTTAGCCCCATTCTTTGGTAATTTTCAGAATGTCTGAATAAGGAAATTTTGTTTTGTTTCAAACAGCAAATTTTCAATATGATGCATATTCTAAGAACCAAACAATGAAACAGACTTATAGCCTTCGAGACCAGGACCTGAGTGAAAACCATTCATTTGAAGAGGCGGTATGGCCACCTAAATATCAACATTTTGTATATTAATATCTGGGTATAAATTCTGACACCAGATAGTGTTCTTTGTTGAAAGGGCTAATAATTAAACTCTTGGTGTGCTGTTTTAATTAATATTGCAGAATACTGAAACTCTATCGAATAGGTCTGCAACAACTTTAAAGCAAAGGAGAATCAGGAAAGATTTTACATCAGAAGAAATAAGTTATCTTTTGGAAGGTGTAAGGAAAATGGGGCATCATTGGAATTCAATTTTATGGGCCTACCCATTTCAGAAAGGACGGACAAATGTTGATCTTGCTAAGAAATACAGCAAATTACAGGTATTTCTGTTTTATAGCTGTTTTCTACCTGGAGTGAGAGTAGCAGAGACCTTAAAGTTAATAGCTACTGTAGTTAGATCAGTGGTTCTCAACCTGTGGGTCGGGACCCCATTTGGGGTTGATCGACCATTTCATGGGGGTCGCCAAGCAAGGCTGTCCGCCATTTTTTTTGTCCGCCATTTTTTTTGTCCATTTTTTTCCCCTTTTCCGGCGGGTGCCTTACCTCCCTTGGGCTGGGCCAGCTGGTGGTCGGCCTGCTCCGTCTCTGCCGCTTGCCAGCTACGCCTCGGCCGGAGCAGGGGGCGGAACCACGCATGCGCGGTGCTCCCGGGCAGGGAAAGTCCTCGACTTACGACCGGTTGGGTAGTCCTCGACTTACGACCGGTTTAGTCCTCGACTTACGACCGGTTTAGTCCTCGACTTACGACCGGTTGGGGTCGCGGCATTAAAAAGGTTGAGAACCACTGAGTTAGATAAATCAGCTTGGGAAGACTAAAAAAATGTGATGGAAGATGGGTGATGGAGGAACCAATAATAAAAAGCCAGTCATACATTTTACCTGGTTTCTTCCACTCTACAGCCCTATTAAGAGGCAACGAGTAATTGATACAAGATTAATACGCTTAGCTATGTATCATTTTTCTCTTTTTCAGAAGAATGAAAAGAGCAGAAATACACAACTTCAGTGAAACTGACCTGTAACATTGTTTAAAATGTTATGACTTCAGCTCCTTTGCAGAATACAGTTACTTGCTTTGTTATCTGGGGCTTGTACACAGGAGATCGTCTTTCCAGCGAGACTTAAATTTTGAAGATACGTTATTTGCCCAGTGCAACGATGTTGCCTATTGATACTGTAAAAATTCAGAATGATCATACTGTCTTTTAAGGAAGTGTGTAATGTGACAATACCGTCTGTAAAAAATAAATTTGAAATGACTAAGCAGCAGATATTCCCACGAGTCTAACGTTTATTCCATTTAACTATGCCCTCGCTCTCTGTTTTTTTTTTTTGCGTCCCTTCGAACTAGTTGGGCTTTTCCAAGCTCTCGGCCACGGAACTCAAGTCTTGCAACCGACGCTGCTACAAAACGGAGTGACTCCGCATACGCCCCTTGCAAGCTCCGCATCCCCTTAGCGTAGTCAATGAAAAAGGGGCGGGGCCAAGCCCGGCTCTGACTGTATTGTGCTGTGTTCTCTGGCAACCTTCGGGCGTAGCCAAAGCAGCTGCAGTGCTCCTTGCCGGCGCTAGGGGTCCCTATTTGGCGCAAACTCTGGGCGGCGGCCCCGAAAATCTTGAACTCATCGTCCAGCGAAAAAAGCCGCCGCCGTTGGTGTCCTCAGAACTGCCTGACTGGAAAGGGCGGCTCAGCCTTCCGCAGGACGGAGCTTCCCGCTCCGAAACCACGCCGCGTAGAGGGAAAGCCGCCGAGGAAGCGACGAGCGTACGTCGAGCTACGGAAAAGAACTGCGAGAGAGGGAGTCAGAAAACAGGCACCCGTCGGGACAGGCGGGGTCCTGAGCCGCGAGTGTGGGAAAGCCGGGGTCCTGTCGGCGGAGCCTGGGCGGATGAGGTCACTCTTTGTGGCGGCTGCCGTTGGCAAGATGGCGCCGGTGTTGGCAGAGAAGAAGCTGCTGGAGCCGGACGGGCCTTTGGCCGCCGACCTCCCCAGCGAGGAAGAGGAAGGCCAGAGCCTCTGGTGAGCAGCCGGGCCCGGGCTTCGGGACGCGGGGGGGGGCGGCTTTGGGGAGGCTGGGCGGGGGAGGGCAGGGCATCTTTCCCCTCGCAGGTGGGCCGGGTGGGGGCCGCCGCCGAGCTCGGCTCCAGCGAAGGCAGCCCCTGCGGCCTGTTTGCCCCCCCTCCGCCGGCTCCATTTTTCCCGGGCCCTCCTGGTGGGGGCGAGACGGTTCAGCTCCGCCGCCCTTGGGAGGGGCGCCTCCTGCAGCCGAGCCGCGGGGGAGCTGCCCTGCCGGGGTGGGTGGAGGGGCTGCTCCCGGCCCTTCCCTCCCTGCAGAGCCGACGGTGGGCAGGCAGCCTTGGCCCGGCCCTGCCCTGCTAGGTGCATGGGACAACCACACCCATCCTCCGCGCTCTCCATCCCCCTCGGTTGGGGCAGGTGGATTTCGCCTGGGAAGCCTCTTCCCGAAAAGGGGCTCCTCCTGGCGCTGCATCTCCCCTCCCTTTTGGGGGGGTGGGGAGGCCGAATGCTCTTTTTCTGAACCCCCCAAGAGTGGCTGGAGGCTGGCAGGTTTGAATGGCCGGCGGGTCTCTTAAGAAGAGGATGCCTCTCGTCGTCTAAAAACCTTGCCCTAAATCCCCGGAGTCTTAATCCCTGTGCAAAGTAAAGCCGACTCCTCCAGCTTTGACAATGGCAGTGGCGTCTCACTAGCGCTTTCTGTTTTTATCACTAGCATTTCTCTCTCTCCCCCCCCCCCCCCCGGCTTGGACGCCTTTCCAATATAAAGCAGCGTCCCGTTATTGTAGGATGCTTGGTTGGCGTGGCTTTCTAATATTGGGTTTCGGTCAACCGGTTATGGCGTTTTCCTGATTTTTATCTGTGGGCTCCTTTTGTAACGAACGCGGGCCTAACCGTGGCTTAGGCACGCAGTGCGTTCTGAATTAATTTTTTGAGCTGCCGTGCGTTTTATTTAGAAGGAGCGGCTCTTACACGCTAGCTTGTTTTGTAACTCACTGCTCTAATCTCTCTTGAAAGAATGCTCTAAAACAGTGTTTTCTCAACCTTGACCATTTTAAGGCATGTGGACTTCAACTCCCAGAATTCCACAGCCAGCGTTGCTGGCTGTGGAATTCTGGGAGTTAAAGTCCACATGCCTTAAAATGGTCAAGGTTAAGAAACACTGCTCTAAAAAATATGTCAGGCAGTGAGAATAAACCCTTTTGGTCTATGCACTATACTTGGAATGTTTCTAAATATTAAAATACACGTCCAGGAATTTTTTTGTTTGTTAACGGTCCCAATCATTTCTCTGTAACTGAAACATTGCAGAGCCAAATACTTTAGCAGAGAAAAGGTGATTTTCCCCGCAAAAGGTAGAGTCAGGCCTTTGAATCCTGACACTTGGAATGACTTTCTGGTACCCAAGTCTGTGGGGAGCAACTTTCCATAATATATGCCAGTGGTGGCGAACCTATGGCACGGGTGCCAGAGGTGGCACTCAGAGCCCTCTCTGTGGGCACCTGCGCCGTCGCCCCAGTCCTAGGCCTTCAGCTGGGTTTTATAAAACCTTTTCGCTTTAGGTCTCCACCGACGTGTGCAAAAAAAAAAAGGTTCAATCAGTCAATTTCAACTTCTCGCGGGGAAAAAAAAGATCTTGCAAAGTTGGAATTGATTGATTGAACTTTTTAGTCCCACCCAGTCTGCCGTTACCACCGCAGCCCCGCCCACCCAATGGGCCACGCCCAACCCAATGGGCCACACCCAGCCAATGGGCCACACCCACCCGGCACCCGACGATGCATAAGTGGGTTTTGGGTTGCAGTTTGGGCACTCGGTCTCTAAAAGGTTCGCCATCACTGATATATGCAATACAGAACCTTTGAGTTCCTTATATGTTTATTAAACTTGTATAGCTGTCCATCTCTTGTTGTGACATGTTTATAATGGTTGATCTCAGAAAACATAATATTGCACTGTTGATTCTTACTCAAAATCCTAGTATTAGTTCAACACTAATTCATAAAAGGTAGGCTTTCCCCTCAATTTGGCTAAAAGGTTTTATGCTTGTAGTCTGGTATTATAAGGCCTAACTTGCTTGACTATAAATGTAAGGTATAAAAGCCAAGGGTTTAAATATTTATTTACTATATGGAGATGACATTTGGATACATGAAAACCATAGGAAGCAAAAAAAAAAAGCTGATTCATTTTTTAGAGGATGGGAACCTTCACTTCTGTTCTTTTGTCATTCATCCTGTTTTTTTGATTCATATCATCTTTCATCCTTGACTAAAAAGAATGTTACTTCAATGCAGGTTGTCAATATTGAGTGAAGTCTCCACCCGGTCCAGGTCTAAATTACCATCAGGCAAAAATATTCTTGTCTTTGGTAAGTATCAGTGAATAGCTATGGGAGGTTGTTGGTTCTCCAGTAAGGTTAACTGATGAAAGAAAAAAAGCCATTTGATTTAGACGAAAGCCTTTGTTGAGAGATCGAATATACATTAGCCAGGCTTCAGCTTGTCTTGTGTGCATTTTGTGACATAAGGCCTTTGATGCTGCTTACAGGCTTAATGGGTTTTTGGGGGGGGTTTCTTTTTGAGAAATAATGTTTCTTTTTTGAAGAGGAAAATGAAAGTCAATTGATATTTAACAAGTTAGAAAGTGGAAGAAGAAGCGTACATCAGACTGGCACAGTAAGAGGCCTGACTTTGTTTAGCTGTTCTGTAAAATGAAATGTTTCTTCAGCTCCTGTAAAGGTACATACAACTTGTCAATTCAAGCAGATGACTTTTTTTTTGTTAAAGATTATCTTCCTGTCTCTTCTCTTCCTTTGCAAAATATACTGGCAGGTGATGATGGCTCTGGTAAAACGACCCTGCTGACTAAAATCCAAGGAGTAGAGCATGGCAAGAAAGGAAGAGGGTTGGAATATCTATACCTAAATGTCCATGATGAAGATAGAGATGGTAAAGTCCTTGTTTTACCTGTGTTTCTTCTGCCTAAAGCTCAAGGCCAGCTTATCTCAAAGATGTTATTGGATTGTGGGATGTAATTAATCAAGTCAGATGTTTAATTATTTCAAGGTTTCTTTATTCTTTGCACTTTCTTTGTCTTGTTCATTCTCTCTTTCCTTTGGCGCCTACATTCAGGCAATTAGCAAGACATGCTATTCCCACCACAAAATATAGCCCTTGATTATCTGTTACCATATTTAGTACATTCTTCCTCATCGTCTCTGTTAGCGCTGTTTTTGTGGAACCTCCACTTTTCATTTAAGCCTGGTTTCTGTCCATTTCTCTATCCTGTATACATTTTTCAGAATCCTCCACTGCCATTCTCCTGATCCCATTGTTGCTCCGTTTGTATAACCTGAAACCTTCCTTTCTGACATTCACTCCTCCAGCTTCACTGATTTCAGAATTACCTGATCCTTTTGTCCTTTTTGCCTTGTGCATTTAAAATTGCCCATCAGAATGCTTCAGCTGCCCTACTTTTTCTAAGCTTGTCCTCAGAATTCACCTTTGAAAAAAGCTGAGTACTGCAGCATTTCCAAATTTGGTACACTTTGGATCATCCTTGTCTTCTGTGACCACAGTAAACACAAGCTGATCTAATTTAATTTCCCAAACTGTTACTTGAATTGAAGGATAATTATGCATAGATAGTTGTGGTTTTGTGAATTTTGTGATGCAGTTCTCTAGTCCTAAAGTATGTAAAAACATACATGAGGAAGATGTCTGCCTCTAAATACATGTATTATTCAAGTCACAGGCATAACATTTAAGAAAAACTTCTTGCAAAAATCAGGAACTGGGAAAAACACAGGCACTGGTGAAATGCCCATGGAACTTCTGAACCTTAGTGTGGAGTTGAGAATGTATTCAAAGTGATGCAAATTGTAGCAATAAACTAAGAAAAACGAAGCAACTGAAACCAGATTTATCCACTTATCCAGATTTGTCCTTACCAATTTGGAAAGACCATCCTAGTATTTTTATGTAAAGCATGTCTGAAATAGCTGCACATTCTCGTACTTACTCAGCTTCTGCTTCTCTCCTCTTTCTCTACCTCTCTGATGCTGAATTCCTGTTTGTAATCTCCCTGGCAGCAAAGTTATGCTATATTTAGTGCTGCCTGTGTACTTGGTGCTTAGAAGCTGTCGGTGCCAAGTATGTTAATGGTGCTATATCTTTTAATGTGAGAAGGATTTGTTACTTAAAAGGAATTGTCTCCTTTGCAGATCAGACCCGCTGTAATGTTTGGATTCTTGATGGCGATTTGTATCACAAAAGTCTCTTGAAGTTTGCCGTGACAGCCGAATCGTTGCAGGAGACTCTTGTAATCTTTGTGGCAGATATGTCTAGGCCATGGACTATTCTGGAATCCTTACAAAAATGGGCAAGTGTCTTGCGTGAACATATTGATAAACTGAAAATCCCCCCGGAGGAAATGAGAGACATGGAACAACAATGTAAGTTACGTGAGGCTGACGTTTCTTCTAATGTCTGTGCATTTTATTTAGAAGAGTGCCCATAACTATATTGAGCCAGGCCCAAAGTCCATTAACTAAGCCCTGTCTACCCTACCAGTCTGCCTGCAGTTTGTGTTTGAGTAACTTTGTTTGAAACAGTATTGCTAATTATGTGGATTTTGTAACAGGGCATGTAATTTGTACTTGCTCGTCTAACGATGAATTGGTCATCTGGGGAAAGTAGGCTTGTAAATAATCAACATTCCTATTCCTATTCCAGTTCAATTAGATAAATGTTGGGCCGATATAGGTAGGGTAGCTTACATGAGTAATATTGCTGAGATGTACTCTATGAATGAGAGCATAATGGCTTTGGCAGTGATGGTTCTTGAGTCAGTCACTACAGAATTGCTTTCTTGATGAAATGGATTTGTTTTAAGCAGGACTGAGTCTCAAGAGTTCCATGGCTTATAAGAAAAAGGATATATGAATCTAAGTATCTTAAGCTAGAGCAAGCTTTCAAGTTGCTACTTCCCTTTTAGAAACATTTGAGGAAAAAAGCTATCATGGAATGCTGCTTCCCAAAGCTGCCTTTGTTGAGATTGAAGAGAATCCCCCCCTCCCATTTGTGACAGAAGGAAGTCACACAAAGCTGGTGCCAAGACTCCATGCATTTATCCTGATTTTCCAGGAAGTCATCTTTCACTATCGATAGTCAAGTGTCATTTGATATTTGCCTAATACTAAATTTAGATCTCATTTTTCCCTTCCCTATTTGCACGGCTGGGCTTCTTGCTTTTCAATTTGTGCAAAATCTGCTGTGCAAACATTGATTTGTTCCAATATGGATCCTTAGCAGCTCTTGTGCAAAGCCAAGTGAAAGTATTTTCAGATTGCTATTTCTTTGTACAGGTAGACCTCAACTTACGATCACAATTGAGCCCCAAATTTTTGTGGCTAAATGGAACATTTGTCAAGTGAGTTTGGCCTCATTTTACACAGTTGTTAAGCGAATCTTGGCAGTTATTAAACTAGTAACACGGTTGTTAAATGGACCCAGCTTCCCTATTGCCTTTGCTTGTGAGAAGATCACAGAAAAGATGGTCACATGACTCTGGGCTACTGCAACCCTCGTAGATATGAATCAATTACCAAGTGTCTGAATTTTGATCATCAGGTGACTCTGGGGATGTTGCAACGGTCCTAAGTGTGAAAAATGGTCACAAGTCACTCTTTTTGTGCTTTGAACAGCCACTAAATGAAGTGTTGTAAGTTCAGGACTACCTGTATTCGGAAAGTGGGCACTTTTCAAGTGAGATTATTTTCGGGTCATTTTGTTGAGTAGCCAAGATGCTCCCCCTTCCTCCAGAAACTAGTCCCATGCCTAAAGACTTCCCTCCATTTAACAACAATGTGCACTGCTTTTATAATTGCAAAGGATTTTTATAGATTGGGTTAGCAATGTAGTAACAAGCACTTAGCCTCTTTAAACTGACCTGCCTGGATTGTTTGTAAAAGCTAAAGAAGTTATATCGGCAAAGAGCGCCGAGGTTTATTGTATTAGAAAAAAAAACAACAGGTGATGTCTAGATCTGTATTTTCACCACACATTTTATCGCATGCTTACCAATCAGATTTAAAGTTTTACTTTTTAGAGATACGGCAGAATGACCTTCCTTTTCTGGAAGGATGTATCTGGCTATTTTACAATTAATTTGACTCTTGTAAAAGGTAATTATTATTGCCATTGCTCTGTGTTTAGTTTGTCTCTCGCTTAATGACCGCCCTGTTTAAGGATCAGTCAAAGTCACACTGGCACTGAAAAAGTAATGACCAATCCTTACGACTGTTACGTTGTCCCACGGTCATGTAACCGACATGTGCACGCTTCACAGCTGGCTTCCAACAAGCAGAGACAATCTGGACGTTGAGTCACGGCAACTGAGCTTAGAAACTTAGCGAGAGGGTTAATAATAATAATAATAATAATAATAATAATAATAATAATAATAATAATAATAATAATAATAATAATAATAATAATAATAAACAACAACAACAACAACAACAACAACAACTGGAGAAGATAACAAAATACAAAGACGTACAAATAGAAATAGAAAGAATGTGGCAAAAGCAAGCAAGGGTAGTACCAATAGTAAATAGGCGCCTTGGGTACAATCCCAAAACAACTGGAGCACCACTTGAACACCATTGGCATTGACAAATTTGCCATTAGTCAATTGCAAAAGGCGGCCTTACTAGGAACTGCTTCCATCCTGCGACGATATCTGTAATAACATCAAACATCCACATCTACCTATCCCAGGTCCTGAGTAAGGACTTGATAGGTAGACAAAATGCCAAATCCAGTCTGAACATCTGGCTGACTGTGCGATGATCCATAATAATAGTAATAAAGTTGGAAGCTTCTTTTCTTTTTTGGTTTGAAAGGTTTCGCTGCTTAGTCAAGTAGCTTCTTCAGTCTGACCGAAGAAGTATTTGGATAAGCAGTGAAACATTTCAGATCAGAAAAGAAAAGTCCGGTTGCCATAACTCAATTTTCAGACAATTCTACCTGGATGATTGAGTATTTTCATTGACAAGCAGAGACAATGGAAAAACTTGTAATACGATTGCAAGTCTCAGTCACATGATGTCTTGCTTACCAACCACGTCGCTTAGTAACGGTTGTAGGTCCCAATTGTGGCCAGTTAGTGAGACTTAATTGACACAGAATAAATAGGTTGTTAAAGTGCACCTTGTGAAGTCCCTTGATTGATTTACAATTTATTTATTATTATTATTATTATTTTTCCAACTTCTATGCCGCCCTTCTCCCCACGGGACTCAGGGCGGCTCACAGCATATTAAAAGACAACACAAAAAACATTTCCCCTATAAAACCAATAAAAAACCAAATATATTTGTGGCTGTGTCATTATTAAAATCTTTAAAAAAATTTTCCCTATTTAAAATTCACCCTAGGTCAGTCCCGCTTGTTGAAAAAGCCATGTCTTGAGGGCGCGGCGGAAGGTTAGGAGATCCGGGATCGTCCGGATCTCGGGGGGTAGTTCGTTCCAGAGGGTGGGGGCACCCACAGAGAAGGCCNCTATATGGAGATGACATTTGGATACATGAAAACCATAGGAAGCAAAAAAAAAAAGCTGATTCATTTTTTAGAGGATGGGAACCTTCACTTCTGTTCTTTTGTCATTCATCCTGTTTTTTTGATTCATATCATCTTTCATCCTTGACTAAAAAGAATGTTACTTCAATGCAGGTTGTCAATATTGAGTGAAGTCTCCACCAGGTCCAGGTCTAAATTACCATCAGGCAAAAATATTCTTGTCTTTGGTAAGTATCAGTGAATAGCTATGGGAGGTTGTTGGTTCTCCAGTAAGGTTAACTGATGAAAGAAAAAAAGCCATTTAATTTAGACGAAAGCCTTTGTTGAGAGATTGAATATACATTAGCCAGGCTTCAGCTTGTCTTGTGTGCATTTTGTGACATAAGGCCTTTGATGCTGCTTACAGGCTTAATGGGTTTTTTGGGGGGTTTTCTTTTTGAGAAATAATGTTTCTTTTTTGAAGAGGAAAATGAAAGTCAATTGATATTTAACAAGTTAGAAAGTGGAAGAAGAAGCGTACATCAGACTGGCACAGTAAGAGGCCTGACTTTGTTTAGCTGTTCTGTAAAATGAAATGTTTCTTCAGCTCCTGTAAAGGTACATACAACTTGTCAATTCAAGCAGATGACTTTTTTTTTTGTTAAAGATTATCTTCCTGTCTCTTCTCTTCCTTTGCAAAATATACTGGCAGGTGATGATGGCTCTGGTAAAACAACCCTGCTGACTAAAATCCAAGGAGTAGAGCATGGCAAGAAAGGAAGAGGGTTGGAATATCTATACCTAAATGTCCATGATGAAGATAGAGATGGTAAAGTCCTTGTTTTACCTGTGTTTCTTCTGCCTAAAGCTCAAGGCCAGCTTATCTCAAAGATGTTATTGGATTGTGGGATGTAATTAATCAAGTCAGATGTTTAATTATTTCAAGGTTTCTTTATTCTTTGCACTTTCTTTGTCTTGTTCATTCTCTCTTTCCTTTGGTGCCTACATTCAGGCAATTAGCAAGACATGCTATTCCCACCACAAAATATAGCCCTTGATTATCTGTTACCATATTTAGTACATTCTTCCTCATCGTCTCTGTTAGCGCTGTTTTTGTGGAACCTCCACTTTTCATTTAAGCCTGGTTTCTGTCCATTTCTCTATCCTGTATACATTTTTCAGAATCCTCCACTGCCATTCTCCTGATCCCATTATTGCTCCGTTTGTATAACCTGAAACCTTCCTTTCTGACATTCACTCCTCCAGCTTCACTGATTTCAGAATTACCTGATCCTTTTGTCCTTTTTGCCTTGTGCATTTAAAATTGCCCGTCAGAATGCTTCAGCTGGCCTACTTTTTCTAAGCTTGTCCTCAGAATTCACCTTTGAAAAAAGCTGAGTACTGCAGCATTTCCAAATCTGGTACACTTTGGATCATCCTTGTCTTCTGTGACCACAGTAAACACAAGCTGATCTAATTTAATTTCCCAAACTGTTACTTGAATTGAAGGATAATTATGCATAGATAGTTGTGGTTTTGTGAATTTTGTGATGCAGTTCTCTAGTCCTAAAGTATGTAAAAACATACACGAGGAAGATGTCTGCCTCTAAATACATGTATTATTCAAGTCACAGGCATAACATTTTAAGAAAAATTTCTTGCAAAAATCATGAATTGGGAAAAACACAGGCCCTGGTGAAATGCCCATGGAACTTCTGAACCTTAGTGTAGAGTTGAGAATGTGTTCAAAGTGATGCAAATTGTAGCAATAAACTAAGAAAAACGAAGCAACTGAAACCAGATTTATCCACTTATCCAGATTTGTCGTTACCAATTTGGAAAGACCATCCTAGTATTTTTATGTAAAGCATGTCTGAAATAGCTGCACATTCTCGTACTTACTCAGCTTCTGCTTCTCTCCTCTTTCTCTACCTCTCTGATGCTGAATTCCTGTTTGTAATCTCCCTGGCAGCAAAGTTATGCTATATTTAGTGCTGCCTGTGTACTTGGTGCCTTAGAAGCTGTCGGTGCCAAGTATGTTAATGGTGCTATATCTTTTAATGTGAGAAGGATTTCTTACTTAAAAGGAATTGTCTCCTTTGCAGATCAGACCCGCTGTAATGTTTGGATTCTTGATGGCGATTTGTATCACAAAGGTCTCTTGAAGTTTGCTGTGACAGCCGAATCGTTGCAGGAGACTCTTGTAATCTTTGTGGCAGATATGTCTAGGCCATGGACTATTCTGGAATCCTTACAAAAATGGGCAAGTGTCTTGCGTGAACATATTGATAAACTGAAAATCCCCCCGGAGGAAATGAGAGACATGGAACAACAATGTAAGTTACGTGAGGCTGACGTTTCTTTAATGTCTGTGCATTTTATTTAGAAGAGTGCCCATAACTATATTGAGCCAGGCCCAAAGTCCATTAACTAAGCACTGTCTACCCTACCAGTCTGCCTGCAGTTTGTGTTTGAGTAACTTTGTTTGAAACAGTATTGCTAATTATGTGGATTTTGTAACACGGCGTGTAATTTGTACTTGCTCATCTAACGATGAATTGGTCATCTGGGGAAAGTAGGCTTGTAAATAATCAACATTCCTATTCCTATTCCAGTTCAATTAGATAAATGTTGGGCCGATATAGGTAGGGTAGCTTATATGAGTAATATTGCTGAGATGTACTCTATGAATGAGGGCATAATGGCTTTGGCAGTGATGGTTCTTGAGTCAGTCACTACAGAATTGCTTTCTTGATGAAATGGATTTGTTTTAAGCAGGACTGAGTCTCAAGAGTTCCATGGCTTATAAGAAAAAGGATATATGAATCTAAGTATCTTAAGCTAGAGCAAGCTTTCAAGTTGCTACTTCCCTTTTAGAAACATTTGAGGAAAAAAGCTATCATGGAATGCTGCTTCCCAAAGCTGCCTTTGTTGAGATTGAAGAGAATCCCCCCCCCATTTGTGACAGAAGGAAGTCACACAAAGCTGGTGCCAAGACTCCATGCATTTATCCTGATTTTCCAGGAAGTCATCTTCCACTATCGATAGTCAAGTGTCATTTGATATTTGCCTAATACTAAATTTAGATCTCATTTTTCCCTTCCCTATTTGCACGGCTGGGCTTCTTGCTTTTCAATTTGTGCAAAATCTGCTGTGCAAACATTGATTTGTTCCAATATGGATCCTTAGCAGCTCTTGTGCAAAGCCCAGTGAAAGTATTTTCAGATTGCTATTTCTTTGTACAGGTAGACCTCAGCTTATGATCACAATTGAGCCCCAGATTTTTGTGGCTAAATGGAACATTTGTCAAGTGAGTTTGGCCTCATTTTACACAGTTGTTAAGCGAATCTTGGCAGTTATTAAACTAGTAACACGGTTGTTAAATGGACCCAGCTTCCCTATTGCCTTTGCTTGTGAGAAGATCACAGAAAAGATGGTCACATGACTCTGGGCTACTGCAACCCTCGTAGATATGAATCAATTACCAAGTGTCTGAATTTTGATCATCAGGTGACTCTGGGGATGTTGCAACGGTCCTAAGTGTGAAAAATGGTCACAAGTCACTCTTTTTGTGCTTTGAACAGCCACTAAATGAACTGTTGTAAGTGCAGGGCTACCTGTATTAGGAAAGTGGGCACTTTTCAAGTGAGATTATTTTCGGGTCATTTTGTTGAGTAGCCAAGATGCTCCCCCTTCCTCCAGAAACTAGTCCCATGCCTAAAGACTTCCCTCCATTTAACAACAATGTGCACTGCTTTTATAATTGCAAAGGATTTTTATAGATTGGGTTAGCAATGTAGTAACAAGCACTTAGCCTCTTTAAACTGACCTGCCTGGATTGTTTGTAAAAGCTAAAGAAGTTATATCGGCAAAGAGCGCCGAGGTTTATTGTATTAGAAAAAAAAACAACAGGTGATGTCTAGATCTGTATTTTCACCACACATTTTATCGCATGCTTACCAATCAGATGTAAAGCTTTACTTTTTAGAGATACGGCAGAATGACCTTCCTCTTCTGGAAGGATGTATCTGGCTATTTTACAATTAATTTGACTCTTGTAAAAGGTAATTATTATTGCCATTGCTCTGTGTTTAGTTTGTCTCTCGCTCAATGACCGCCCTGTTTAAGGATCAGTCAAAGTCACACTGGCACTGAAAAAGTAATGACCAATCCTTACGACTGTTACGTTGTCCCACGGTCATGTAACCGACATGTGCACGCTTCACAGCTGGCTTCCAACAAGCAGAGACAATCTGGACGTTGAGTCACGGCAACTGAGCTTAGAAACTTAGCGAGAGGGTTAATAATAATAATAATAATAATAATAATAATAATAATAATAATAATAATAATAATAAACAACAACAAAAACTGGAGAAGATAACAAAATACAAAGACGTACAAATAGAAATCGAAAGAATGTGGCAAAAGCAAGCCAGGGTAGTACCAATAGTAAAAGGCGCCTTGGGTACAATCCCAAAACAACTGGAGCACCACTTGAACACCATTGGCATTGACAAATTTGCCATTAGTCAATTGCAAAAGGCGGCCTTACTAGGAACTGCTTCCATCCTGCGACGATATCTGTAATAACATCAAACATCCACATCTGCCTATCCCAGGTCCTGAGTAAGGACTTGATAGGTAGACAAAATGCCAAATCCAGTCTGAACATCTGGCTGACTGTGCGATGATCCATAATAATAATAATAAAGTTGGAAGCTTCTTTTCTTTTTTGGTTTGAAAGGTTTCGCTGCTTAGTCAAGTAGCTTCTTCAGTCTGACCGAAGAAGTATTTGGATAAGCAGTGAAACATTTCAAATCAAAAAAGAAAAGTCCGGTTGCCATAACTCAATTTTCAGACAATTCTACCTCGATGATTGAGTATTTTCATTGACAAGCAGAGACAATGGAAAAACTTGTAATACGATTGCAAGTCTCAGTCACATGATGTCTTGCTTACCAACCACGTCGCTTAGTAACGGTTGTAGGTCCCAATTGTGGCCAGTTAGTGAGACTTAATTGACACAGAATAAATAGGTTGTTAAAGTGCACCTTGTGAAGTCCCTTGATTGATTTACAATTTATTTCAACAATTTTTTAAAATGGTTGAAGAATTTTAACAGAATACACTTGAGTTTCAACTTACTGGTTGATACAGCTTCCAAATTGCTTTTCTGATAATTATTTCAAAAGCATAATGATGAATTTTCACTTCCTCAAAGCTCTCTTCTTGCAGTGTGCATTAAATTGAATGATGCTTCCCCTGAACTTTATGATGAAAATCTTGTGTGTGGCATTGACTTGGCAGAAAGCCACTGTCCAAAATCAAATCACAGCATTTTTATAACCAGTTTATTGATGTGTGACACACATATATGTGGTGTAGTGATGATCATGATAACGGTTGATTTATAAAAAACAACAATTGGGGCTATGGAATTCTGAAGGAACTCAAAGCGATGGAAATTCGGTCAAGAGAATCATTTTAAAAAATCTAAAATTGTTAGAATAACATTGTGAGTGTGTCATCAGAATTTCTATTCCAAACATTTGGGCACCGTCATCCTTTTCAGGGGAATATATTCTGGCAAGCACCTTCCACTACTTGACACCAACACCTCTGGCCTCAATGTGACACTGAGCTCATATTATGCTGTGGGTGGATTTTTTTTTAGGAATTCCAAAGGTTTCACATAGTGCACTCAAGTAGTTTGGGTATTTATTAAAGGTTCATGTCACCTATTTTCTTTGGGAAGGAAGACGGTTCTTCGTACACGAAACCTAACATAGTAAGGTATAAATATACCTTTGAATTTACTTTACAGACAATCTCGTCTTCTCACAGACGGAGACCTTAAAACGTAAGGACACAGTCATTTCTGTGTATTCCCTGGATGTGGTAATGATTGTTGTGTATCTGCGCCTGAGCTGAAATGAAAGTTTCCAAAGCTATTGAAAAACGCAAGAAGACGGACGGTTCTTCCATAGAAGGAAGGAGTTATTATCTTAGTTAAGGAAGCAGTCACATAAAACAGCTGGAGCAAGACTTACCATAAGTGAAAGCTTTGGTGTTTTTTTTACCCCAGATGCTCATAGTTGTATGCGGGTGACATACAAATTTAATAAATAAATGCAGTTGTGTACAGGTGCCTCTTTTTTAAATACCAGTTCTTTCAATGTTCAGCAGATTAGAGATGAAGCCTTTGGCATGCTGCAAATGTTTAGCTTTCTTGGCTGTTGGTAAAGCAAAATTTGACTTGGCCCCAAGCAGCCTTCAAGAATAAATTGAGCTAGAACTCCACACAAATGAATTTCAGTGACTAAGATGCTCCATTTGTGCTGATGGCGTTACCCGTAAATTTGCATCCCCATTTGATGTTGCACTCACCATTTGGGGCATTTTTCTTCTAAGGCAAGAATATTCTTACATAACATCATGTAGATTGTAGAAGATCTCATTAAGTAGGAAGGATGGTGTTTTTGGGATGAGTAATGTCCACCAACCTTGAAAATATCTGCAGCCATTGGGATATTAAGTGTAAAACCTAGGAATAAAGTTTCTGAAAGCCTATTAAAAGAAGGCTTGTTTTCTGCACTCCAGGTCTTTTGAATTTTTAATAGGTTAAATTCTTGTGGGGTTTCCTCTTCCAGAAACTCTGGCAGAGATACAGCTGTTTTTTTTCTTTAGCTTCTGTAGCAGTTACTGAAAAAAAAACCAAACTTAAAATAACGAAGCATTGAAATTTCAGAACGAGCTACACAAATCCGTTTTTGAAAAACATTTTTGCTCTGAAGAAAAACTGCTTTTACATTGTGAAGGGTTCTTGGAGACCTAGAAGACGAAGTGGGATAACCGGTGAACATATTAAAACTATTCTGAGGGGGGGGGGAATTGATGGTGTTTTAAACTTTTTTTTTTTTACAAGTGGGTGCAGTATTCTAATTTTTGCTCTTTAATCTCAAACAATACCTGTTTTTTTTTAATAAAGAATATTTGAAACAGCACCTAGCTTTTAGCATAAAAGACACTTTATGTTTTGTTGTAGTTGTGAAGATTTTTCAAGAATATGTAGAACCGGAAGGAGGTTATCAGGGATCCCCACAAAGGAGAGGTCCATCAGGGCAAGATGAGGAGAACATTGCCCTCCCTCTCGGAGAGAATGTGCTGACTCACAATCTTGGGATCCCCGTGGTGGTAGTTTGCACAAAGGTAAGCTTGAAGTCCCACTCGTTGCCAAAAGAAACCACAACCTTTATACAATGGAATTGAATCTTGTTACTTCAAAGAATGAAATCTGATTTGTGGGGAAGATGGTTTTATCCTTCCTTCCTTCCTCCCTCCCTCCCATTTTTTTAACATCTTACCTTTTGGTAACCATACCTTGAGCAGTTTTGCATATCCTTTTGGATTTCAATAAGTGTCATGTTTCCCATTCTGCAATCCAGGAAGAACGTTGAGTTCAGTCTGTATTCTTTTTCTCCAGGCTTCCCTTTTGTATGTCCTAATTTTAGATTATTCTGCCAGATATTCAAAATCCCTGGAGATCTCTGTTCTAAATGTATATGCCGGCGGTTCTCAACCTATGGGTCACGACCCCATTTGGGGTCGATCGACCATTTCACGGTCGCCAAGCAAGGCTGTCTGCCATTTTTTTCCCCCTTTTCCGGCGGGTGCCTTACCTCCCTTGAGCTGGGCCAGCTGGTGGTCGGCCTGCTCTGTCTCTGCCGCTTGCCAGCTACGCCTTGGCCGGCGCAAGGGGCGGAACCACGCATGCGCGGTGCTCCCGGGCAGGGAAAGTCCTCGACTTACGACCGGTTGGGTAGTCCTCGACTTACAACCGGTTTAGTCCTCGACTTACGACCGGTTTAGTCCTCGACTTACAACCAGTTGGGGGTCGCGGCATTAAAAAGGTTGAGAACCACTGGTATACGCCATGCAGCTTGAAGTGTGATAAATAGCAGTCCAGCGTAAGAAGTTGCGTATTTTTTGAATGGGATAAAGCTGCCGTGGGTGCAGCTTTTTTTAAACCGAAAAATATTGGAGAATGTTGTTGTGTGTTTTTAATTTGTGTACATTGCCCTGAATCGTACGTTGACTGGGTAGCTATACGAATGGACTAAATGAATAAATATAATTGAAACTTTCCCCTTAATAGCTTCAAAACTTGCTCTGAGCATTGATTTATGGAAAAGTCTGTCTTCCGCACTCATTGCGTGGCAGACTTTCTGAACTCTTGAGATTCCTTTTGATTTTTTTTTTCCAGTGTGACGCAATGAGTGTGTTAGAAAAAGAGCACGACTATAGGGAAGAACACTTTGATTTCATTCAGTCGCATATTCGTAGATTCTGCTTGCAGTGTATCCTTTTTCTTAAGCCGAAATGGTATATTAAAGCAGTACTTTGTAAACTGAAACAATGTTTAATATGATTCCAATTCTGTTCTTTGTTTTGTTTCCATTCTTGAAAAACAGTCACATCTATATTTTATTTACATTTAGTTCATTTCATGAGCACATATTTTAAGTTTAAAACCACAAAGGCCAGCATGTTCCATTTTCTTGGTTATGATGAGGTTTTTGTATTTCCAGTAACGGCCGGTAAACTAACGCAAGTTTTAGATGTTCTGTATCTAGCAGCCGACAGTACAATCCCATGAAAGTTGACTCTTGAGAAAAATCTTGCTGCTCTCCTGGATTCCACCTGCCAGATTAGCCTGCTACTATCTGCTCTTAAGGAGAACATTCCCGGTGTCACATTTATAGGATTATGCTGCAAGTACAATTCGTTAATTGGTGAATTATGTTGAAGTTTAATAAATTAATTTGGCTACGAAACAATATGGCTCCTTTAGGAATAGTTGTACTTCTTTAAACTTCTTTAGCCTTGTTATAATAATTTTTTGAGTCTGAAAGCTTTTTAACATGTTCATTTCTGTATTGTACTAACTCCTCTCCTTTCCTTGGGCTTAAAATTAAAAGGATGGACTGTTTGAAACCATTAACCTTTGGGCCCATTATCACCACCGCACAGTAAATAAACATATGGAGTACTGGTAAGGTGGTGGACAGGTGACCTTGTTTAGCTGTTGTGCTACTCTCTCACAAGGGTGCTCTGGGGAAAAGAGGAGAAAGCAACAACATACCCTCTTGAATTTCTGAGATAAAGGCAGGGTATAAATTTAGCCACTATATCATTTAGAAACAGGTACTTACTTACTTTTGAGATACTTAAATGTATACATTTAGCACTTGAAATTCACCACTCTGCTTGGAATTTTCCTTAAATGAAACGAATAGATGGAGCAGCCTTGTTCTATACATCCGTTAAGGAGGAGAAGAACCTTGACTTGTTATATAAGTACATTGTACATAAAAAATACGGCTTTCACTTTGCAAAGCCTGCCTCAGTGGTAGAAAAGGACGCAGTTTTTATGTAAGTTGAAGGGCAAAGTAAGACGCATCATCAAAAGGCTACTTTCACTAAAACACAGCATTTTCCTGGCTTGAGGCCGCCCCCCCCCTCCGGGGTAGATGAAACCTAAAAGATGGCAAAATATTTGTCTCAACTATAATAGAAATCAGCCTTGAGTAATATTGTCTGGGTGGGATTTCATCCTATTAAAAAAAAAAAAAGAGCTGCGGTGGCACATTGGTCAGAGTGCAGTATTGCAGGCTAATTCTGCCCACTGCCAAGAGTTTGATCCTGACCAGCTCAAGGTTGACTCAGCCTTCCACCCTTCTGAGGTCGTTAAAATGAGGACCTATAAAGCTATAAAGCACTGTGAGGCAGTATATAAGTCTAAGTGCTATTGCTAAGTGCTATCATAATTTGAAGAGCACCAGTTTGGGAAATATACATAGTTTTCCTGCTTTGTGTAGATTTAAGTAACCTGGGATTGGCCTTTACTGGCTAGCATTTCATCTTCATGCCTTTGGCTCTTTTTTGAGGAATGTACCTCGTCTCTAAAGCCTCTCTTCTTTCTGCCTTCCAGAATTTCCTTTGAAAATTCTGTTGAATTTCCAAAGAGGGTGGCGCGACCTCACATAAGGGTGATAAGCACTGAAATGAGCTTCATCTATTTTAATCACGAAATAAAACTCCCCAGTATCCAGAACCTCTTGGTTCAACCCATGTGTGTAATAATCTCATTCGCTGCAGCCCTTATCTCCTTCCTGCCCATCAGATAAAATTGTCTGCCTCAAATCTACAAGTGTCTCTTTTCATGGGAAATAAAAGGCAAGCAAATCTGACATTGGTGCGTGCGTTTCTGAAAAAAGGATGTGCTTGCATGAACGGTAATTCTTTCTCTTAGACCTGCTGGCTGGGACAATGAAAAGAAAATTGCAATCCTGCATGAGAATTTCACAACAGTGAAACCAGAAGATGCATACGAAGACTTCATCGTAAAGCCACCTGTAAGAAAGGTACAGCTCCTTTGAACTCTGCCACATTATCCTACAGGTGAAGCTGCTGGTCATTGTTCTTGAAATTCATATTTTTAAATTACAGCAAGGATGCTGAATCTTTTGTTGGGCACCAGTCATTTGGAGTAATGAATCTGCTAACTATTCACTTATGAATACTTTGAGAAGTGGTGCTTGGGACTCCATTGACTAACAAAGAGCACTTATACAAAAGAGAATGTTACTTTTTGCTTGGAGCAAGGGGTTGTATTTTGGTATGGAAAAGCCCAAAATAAAATGGCTTGGATCCAACTAATCATGAGTGGAAGAATGTTTTTGAGACATAGAAGGGTTCTGAGGAGGCCTTTGATGTACGTTTCCCTACCTCAGGCACAGAATTTTGCAGGAGGAACATTTCCTTCTAAACTGCCAATGTTTATCAGCCTGGCAGCCATCTTTGTACCCCATCAGCATTTAACATGTGCAGGCTGTTGCTGCTGGTGTCCACGCAGTCTAAAAATGCTTATCCAGAAGTGGGAGTTGGCCCTTACAGTTCCTACTCTGGCAGCAGATCAAGGAAATGATTACTCCTGAGCTGTATCTGAGAAAGTCAGTCCCTCTGCGCAGTAAGAGAGGCCACTGGCTTCTTTTGCATATGGAGAAAAGGAGATTTCCCAGGACGGAGCAATGTGGCACCCCGTTTCTTGCACATTAAATGAGGGGGTGTCCTTTGCAAGAGGTGGTCCTTGCAATGTCCATAGACCAGGGGTGGGCAACCTTGGCTCTTTTATGACTCGTGGACTTCAACTCCCAGAATTCCTGAGCCAGCCATGCTGAGGGGAAAGGGAGAGGTTTCCAAGCTGAGCCATGCTGGCTCAGAGAATTCTGGGAGTTGAAGTCCACAAGTCATGAAGGGGCCATAGTTCCCCCATGCTAGCTCAGGAATTCTGGGAGTTGAAGTCCACAAGTCATGAAGGGGCCATAGTTCCCCCATGCTGGCTCAGGAATTCTGGGAGTTGAAGTCCACAAGTCATGAAGGGGCCATAGTTCCCCCATGCTGGCTCAGGAATTCTGGGAGTTGAAGTCCACAAGTCATAAAAGAGCCAAGGTTGCCTACCCCTGCCCTAGACCATCTCCAAGCCTTCCTGTCTATGTTGCTCTCAGCCAGAGTGACTGTTCACCATGCTAAGAAAGGAAGAAGAAGGGAAGGTGTTACCATAGCCAGGCATTCGGACGTGATTCTCCTCTTTCTGCAGTTTCCAGTTTGGGGGGGGGGGCAGGTCTAACTTTGTGCTGGTGGGAGGAACACCCTTGTGCCAACATTGCTTCTTTCCGTGTGTATTTTTTCTAAGATCCAAACAGGTGCGCACATCCAGACCTCTTGGCATTTATTACACCAGATGTCGAGCTGTACAATAATCCCTCTGCCCCCTCCCCCATGACTGATCTTAATGGAGATAATTTAAGATAACTGAACATCTGTTGGTGAGAAACACTTTTTTTTTTCCTTTTTATTTTCCTTGTCAGTTAGTTCATGATAAAGAGTTTGCGGCAGAAGACGAGCAGGTCTTTCTGATGAAGCAGCAGGTGAGCGGGGAAAAAAAGCCCTATTCTGCTTTTTGCTTCTCTCTGGTGCTTAGGATATTTTAAAACAGGTCTGTGCATCGTGAGGCTTGGGGTCTCAGTGCAGCCCCCTAATTCTCCCCCCACCCTCGGCTCCCTTTTTGAAGCCTTTGCATCCCCTTTTGATCACAGTTGCAGAAAACCATCTTCATGGTTTGCTGGCAGTTAAAAGCTCAAAACATTTAAACCTACGCCTAAAAATAACCTTTCTCAAATTGGAAGAATAACATCTTGGTCTTCTCCACATAGCATTGACTGCTTTGCATTATTATCCTACTACTACAGACCTGAATCCTCCACTTTTCTCTGTGCTAATAAGTGTTCAACGAATCCCCAGTAAGCAGAATCCTTGCCAGAAAGAGCAGGATGTAAAGCTCCAAGAGAGAAAAATAATTCCCAGAGCTTATGCAGAGCGAAAGTGTAGCCTTTTCTGTTTTGCAGGGTGGCTTTCTCTCAAAACAGTTCTTGGAATTGTAGTTCTCTGATGTAGTGAAAGAAATTACTGGGGTTTCTCTAGTTTGTGGCTGACATGCTACTCTTTTTTCCTTTCAAACTAGTGACTCTGATTCACTCTTATCAGACATATATAGCATAGGTGCACAATATACAGTCACCCTGAGGTTGCTGAACACATCTATCACTTTCCTTCACTGTTGATTATTGTCTCCTAATTTGGCCCTAAGTCATCCAGTCAGCTTTTATTCCTAAAGCGGGACTGCTTTTTACTGCAATCTTGAGCAGTAGATTAAGTTACAGCCACCTCACCTCTCCTCTTTAACAGTATAAAATCTCAGTAGGAAAAAAAGCTTTCTAAAATATAATGGTGTATTGGGGCTGCTTTGGATAATCAGTTTGACAGGGCTGTGACTTTTCTTTCAGTCGTTCCTTGCTAAGCAGCCGGCAACCCCTACCAGAGCTTCTGTAAGTACATAGTTAACATTTATATTATGTTCCATAAGGCAGTATAATCAGATAAAAGAGAGAAGAATATTAAGAGTAACCCACAATTGGACGTCTTGGGAATGTGAAATTTTTTGACAAAACGATTGCCCTGCAGCAAGTAAAATTTGTATTTGATTACCGGCTTCAGTTTGTTGTTGTATGCAGCTTTCAAAAATCATAACTCGGGCAGGTATTTTTATTTAAAAAGGTGACATCGGTAAACCACATCCTGTTGCCTTTTATTATTCTCCAGGAATCTCCAGCTCGTGGTCCTTCTGGCTCACCCCGGCCGCAAGGCAGGACAGGCCCTGCCGCCGTCCCCAGCGCCTCGCCAATAGCATCCGTCAAGAAACCAGATCCGGCTATTAAAAGTATGCAATTCACCTTAGAATGTTTGTTTTGCTTTGAACTTTTCCCTGGGTGTAGCATTTTTATGGTCTGTTGGTTGAAAGGCTGTGTTGATGTTGGGAAAGTTTTTTTGTGAAGTGCCACATTGTTCCTTAGCAGGTACAACGAATGAAACTTGCCATTGCAAAAAAAAAAATGTTGAAGAATCTCTTAAATGTAATTTCTTTTTTTAAAAAAAATATGTTTTTTAATTATAGCATAAAAAAAACAACCCCAAGTCTCACCTCTGATTTTAATACTACAGTGGATATGAGATTTAATAATTGGAGGTGTATGTTCATAATAAATCCATGCCCAAGCAGGAAGATAAAAACATTTTTGAAAAGCTAAGATGTTTTGGGAACAGCAGTGGATCTTAGCTAGAAAAGGCAGCAGACATCCCTCCCCCCCCCCATCGTATCTAAGCTTATGTTACTCAAATACATAGTTAACCACTAAAACTCTAGTAAAATAGTATGCTTTGATGAAGATATTATGATTTTATTTGAAAGCCAGTATAATCTAGTCATCAGAGTGCTGGGCTAGAGATGAGAGGAGCGAGGTTCTACACTGCCCTTAGGCCTGGAAGCCATCTGGGTGATCTTGGTGCCCTCCTTAGCCCAAATCAGCATCGGCCCCTGTGACAACAACGCCCTTGTCGCATCATGCACTGATGGCTTTTCTGCAAGAAGTTGCCCTAATGCAGAGGTAGGCAACCTTGGCTCTTTTATGACTCGTGGACTTCAACTCCCAGAATTCCTGAGCCAGCCATGCTGAGGAGAAAGGGAGAGATTTCCAAGCTGAGCCACGCTGGCTCAGGAATTCTGGGAGTTGAAGTCCACGAGTCATAAAAGAGCCAAGTTTGAAGACCCCTGTTTTAAATATTTAAATATTTTTCCTCACAGTCACGTGATCAAAATTCAGGCATTTGGGCAGGGGTAGGCAACCTTGGCTCTTTTATGACTCGTGGACTTCAACTCCCAGAATTCCTGAGCCAGCCATGCTGAGGGGAAAGGGAGATCTGAGCCGGTCACCGGGGCCAGAGGTTTAGTCTTCCGAGCTTCCAGACTCGAACTGGAGCCCATCCTCAGGGACCTTCCTTCTCACCGGAGCGTAGCGTTCTGCTCTCGGTGACCGGCACAGATTGAGTCCCGTAACATTATTCTGGGACACGTCTATTTGCCTTCGCCCAACATTTTCCGTATAATAAATCTTTTGACGTTGGAAAAGACCCCAGCGTCATGGTTTTTCTTCTTTTATTTCCCCAGGTTCTCTCTTGAAAGTCAGTTTCTCTCATTGTCAGCATCCCACCTTTGCCCACTTTCAGTGTTTGCCTCTTTCTCCTTAGACAACGCCGCAAGCGAAGGAGTGCTGGCCAGTTTCTTCAATAGCCTCTTGAGTAAAAAGACAGGTTCCCCTGGGAGTCCTGGTGCAGGAGGAGGGGGAGTGCAAAGCACCGGCAAGAAATCAGGTACCGTCCAAAAGAAGCCACTTCCCCTAATTTATTTGGGCCCGTTTACGCGCAATACTTCGCAATCTATGGTTTGAGTTCGCTCGGGTTAAAAGAACGCCAGAACGCGGGGTCTTACACCAGCCATCTTCTCCCCCCCCCCCCCAACAGCTCTACCTTGCAGGAATGTGTTGTTGAACTTTTTTGTTCGTTTGTTTCTTCTGAGGCTTAAATGGGGTTGAAGAAATCTTCCCCCTGTTTTGAGCTGAGGACAGAGGGCAGCATGCCCACTTGATCCCATAGTCTTCCTTTAGGTTCGTCCATCTTTCTTAGCCTGAAGACAGAAGTACAGGTCGTTCTCAAGTCGCAACACTTCGTTTAGTGACCGTTGGAAGCTTCAGCAGCACTGAACTGTGTTGAGTTAGTAAGGCGGTCGTTAAGCGAATCTGGCTTCCCCATTGACTTTGCTTGTCAAGGTCGCAAAAGGGGATCGCATGACCCCAGGACACTGCAACCATCATAAATGCGAGACAGTTGCCAAGCATCTCAATTTTGATCGCGTGACCCTGGGGATGCTGCAGTGGTTGTAAGTGTGAAAAACGACCATAAGTCGCTCTTTTTTTTGATGTCGTCATGACTTCAAACAGTCACTAAATGAACTGTTGAGAGTCAATCCGGAAGAGAAATGTGACCCTTGAATGTTTGGAATCTAGCTAACTGGCACATGATTCTAGGAGCACTGTTTATTTATTACATTTATATGCTGCCCATAGCACCGTCCTGTGACTCTGAGCAGCTTACAACGTTGCAAAAGCAAATGCAAAATGTTAAACAGAGATTAAATAAGTGAAACATTAAAATACAAAAGGGTGGGATCTTTGTCTTCATCCACCAATCACCTCCAGTGTGGAATGCCCTCATTGGAGGCCCAGGCCCAACAGCAGAGCCACGGTTTTTTTTGGGGGGGGGTCCGAAGGCCAAGAGATAGGTGTGGATCTCACCTCAACCTGTTAGAGCCATGGTGGCGAACCTATGGCACGCGTGCCACAGGTGGCACACAGAGCCCTCTCTGTGGACACGCATGCTGTCGCCCCAGCCCCACCTCCCCCGTGACCCCCTCCTCAACAGCAGCCCCCCAGAGGAGAGTTGACCCCGGGCGCAGCCTGTGTGGAGCAGCGCAGCCAAGGACATGGCAGCCAGGCAGCAGGGATAAGACTCCGCTCTCACGCCCTGTCGTGCGCAGATGATGCTACAGGGCGCCGGCGGAGGGTGTGGCCGCCATGGCGCAGGGCCGCCTGGGTGATCTGCGGCGGGCCGTGGAAGCGGTGGTTGGCCCTGCGGGTGGGGTAGGGGCAGGGCGGACGGGGCAGAGGTGGAGTGGGCGGGGTGGGGGACGGAGCAGGGATGGGCGGGGCAGTTTTTGGGCACTCGGTCTCTAAAAGGTTCGCCATCACTGTGTTAGACCATGGTAACAGATCCGTGCTTGCGAGCTGCTCCTCAGTTTATGTTGGGTTCACACTGAAAGCTCTACATAGCTTAGGCTCCGACTTTCTTAAGAGACCACTTCCTGGAGAGGAAGCTCAGAAGAGCAGAAAGAACGTTTAGGGCTGATTTTCTGCATACATATATTGTGTCTTCCTTTTTTTTATAGGGCAAAAAACTGTTTTGACGAATGTCCAAGAAGAGCTGGATAGAATGACTCGCAAGCCGGACTCGGTAGTAACAGCCAACTCCTCTCCGTCAGAGAACGAAGCTTGAGAATCCTTGAACCTCCATATGTAAATGACCAAATAGTGATGTACATTGACCCGATAACACCACCAGGAGCTTCCTGCCGTGGCAGATGCTATCAGTTTTTTTCTTGGGGGGGAAAATGAAATTTAACCTTCATTGGCTTGTCCCAGTGTCAAGTGCACATTCAGGAAGTTTTGCGTCTAAATTTCCTCTGTTTTACGATAACCATTTTAGAGTTTAAATAGGGCATTTCTCTTAATTTGGTTGCAAGCAATAGGGAGAAGAAGGGCACAGAAGCAAGAGGTGGCATTCCTGCTGAAAAGCCCACGAGCTGCCGCTGGGACGGAGGAAGCGCGAAGTCCTCTCTTGATCCAAGTCAACTGGAGTTGGCCATGAAAATGCGTAACTTTGTGTTTGTAGAGGGTGCAATGTGGCAGAATGTTGGTTGGCTGATGAGTGTACAAAAATGCAGTGTGTTTTTGAAAGGGTAGAGAAAAAGACCTGATCAATAGAAGTGAAAAAAGCACGTTGGATGTAAATCAGATAATCATGTCGGGGAAAAATAAAATAAAATAAAATAAATGCCTTTACAATTGGGTGACAGAAATCGCGAGCATCATGGGAAACTATTCCAGTGGCAATTTTTTTTTTTTTTTTTTGCAGTTCTAATGAGAAGATACATAAAATACGGTGGGTGCTCTTTTTGTCGTAACTGACACGGGGAGAAACTTGTTCAGACCAAGTGCCTGGCACAGTGTGAGATGTGTCTTCTGGAAGGTGCTTGGACCTCTTGTGCACTATTGTACAAACAGTATCTGTTTAATTTTTTATTTTTTATTTTTAATTTTAACCCGGTAACTTTGATAAGCTGGGTTGAATTTTGCATCCTTTCCCCCCCCCCCCGCCGCCGCCCCTGATAACTTTTTCTTTCTTTCTTTCTTTCTTTCTTTCTTTCTTTCTTTCTTTCTTTCTTTCTTTCTTTCTTTCTTTCTTTCTCTCTCTCTCTCTCTCTCTCTCTCTCTCTCTCTCTCTCTCTCTTTCTTTCTTTCTCTCTTTCTTTCTTTCTCTCTTTCTTTCTTTCTTTTTCGTACCAACCATCTGGTTAAGAGGAACGAGTGACATGTCATTTTTCTCCGTAATGAAATGGAAACGCAAATCTTTCTTTTGTATCCAAGATTTAATTGCAAAGGTCAACACTGATTTCTGCCTTAAGGTTTTAAAACCCCTGTGGTGAGTTTGGGGGAGTCCTCCAGAATTCTTATTCTAGATTGACTTAAACAAAGGATTGTAGGTATTGTACGCAGGAAGAAAAAAAATACAGACTTATGTGACTTCATTACATTTGTGCTTTACCCCTTCGGTGTTGCCTTTTTCAATGTGGAAATAATTTTTGACGGCTGGCCCCCCGTTGCTGCTCAGATCAGTTCCCATAGCCACTTGGAGTAAGACTCCCACAGTTAACCGAAATGGCACTTTTGAGTTTCTGTACAATTTATTTGACAGAGAAACACTAACTTATTTGTACCAAACTTGTTTGTAAGCAACACATTGGAGGGATATACCACCATATGGATTATGCAGAGTTTACTTTGTATTGATAAACGGTTTTTGTGTTACGTTAAATCTTGTTTCTGAATAGAACAACCCTAATATTTATATACCTATATCTATATATATTGTTATATATACGAAATAAATTGACCACTAACACATTACTGGATGTAATTGCAACCCATGTGTTGTAGAGAGAGGCCATTTCTCTTTGTTTTTGTAAGTCTGTCTAATGCTAGCTAGAAAACTAAGAGTATTTACTTGCATTAACATAAAAGTATGTTTACTTACGTCAGTTACATTTTTTTTTTAACAACACACGTTCAAATACATTATAAAAAAACTCAGTTTTGCCGATCGTTACCTGGCTCTTAAACTGAGAAGTTGTGATCAGGGAATTTGGTTTGTGTTTTAGCTGCCATTACAAGCCAGCATAGGCTTTGCTATATTATAAAACTAGCCTTGTGCCATCCCAATAGTAGTAATTCAATCTTCCTTATGGCAGCACCTTTAAGTAACTACAATTTTGGTGCCATTTATACATGTAGAACCAGTGAACGTATTGAGATGGTTGAATTCATGCTTGGATCTAACAGATGAAGTGTAACAACTTTTTTTTTTTTGATGGGTTGGCTGTTCCCAAGATGATTATGGAAGCTGGATGATACAATTGAATTCTGGAAAATAAAACCTTAAAATCAAACTGGGTATGGGGGGAAAACAACAAATTATTTGCTAATGTTCTAAGAGCACTAGTTAGGTCTCAAAGCCCAACTGGTCTTATTAAAATTTCTGTCATGCACCAAGATAATTTACGTAGTATATGAAAACTGTAGGCAACCGGATTTTTTATTTGCATAAAATGAATGTTGGATTTGCTAAACAAAAAGCCAATAGCATATTATTTCCCAGTTCTACAAAAGATCTTAGGGACTCAGAATTTGGAACGCTCCTTCCCCCCCCCAACCATACTCTCCCATTTTGCAAGTGAATGCTCCTAGTTTTTCAAAAGAAGGAGACTGTAAGTGATGTAATGTTTGTCAGTTGTCAAAGTCTAGCAACTTTGGAAAGCTGCACCATTTCTTTTTTGGTGTTCTCAAGCATTAGAACCAAAGGCCAAATGCAAAACAGCCTTTATGTTTAAAACTACCATTAACTTTATTTTCAGGATTCAATTTTGTGGAAGACTGTTAGAATTACTACATGACTATATTTATATTGCGTATAATAATTGCATCTGCTGTTCACATTTAAACTAAAGTAATAATATATTGGACTTGAAGATAAGGCAAATATAAATCAGTTTAAGGATTGGCCCGCCATCAAAATTTTTGTTTTATGCTGCTTGATTTTTTAAGTTTGCACTTCTATTGGCATTTTAAAACTCGTTTAAACCGAACTTGTACGTGTTTTATTTAATTTAACACATTGAAAGTGACTGAACTTAACCATGCCCATGCTGTAAATGAAAGTTCACTCTCGTGTATTCAGTTGATTGATGTTTTTAACTTTTCAATGGAGACTGCAGATGTATCCAGCACAACCCTTAGTCCATTTGTATGGCTTGAACCAGGTGCAGTCCTGTGGAACCTTGCTTTCTAGTGCTGGCGAAAATGAGGACATGTCTTTAACGGCTTCAATAAACACCAACCAAGATGACTTACTTGTGTTGAGTCACCCTTGTTTTTTTTGGCAAGGTGGGCCATTTTGAAGGACGATAATTTGAAGCAAATGAAGTTTCGGACTCTAGATATAGAGATGTGTCTAGATCAGTGGTTCTCAACCTGTGGGTCGGGACCCCATTTGGGGTTGATCGACCATTTCACGGGGGTCGCCAAGCAAGGCTGTCCGCCATTTTTTCCCCCCTTTTCCGGCGGGTGCCTTACCTCCCTTGGGCTGGGCCAGCTGGTGGTCGGCCTGCTCCGTCTCTGCCGCTTGCCAGCTACGCCTCGGCTGGCGCAGGGGGCGGAACCACGCATGCGTGGCGCTCCCGGGCAGGGAAAGTCCTCGACTTACAACCGGTTGGGTAGTCCTCAACTTACGACTGGTTTAGTCCTCGACTTACAACCGGTTGGGGTCGCAGCATTAAAAAGGTTGAGAACCACTGGTCTAGATTGACTAGCTTTTTCTTATGGCGGGTGAATTTTCTTAACCTTTTTGTTGCTGAGAACGTAGAAAGGACTTTAGCTAAGCAGCCGAACAACTGAGAAAATACCGTCTGAAATCCTAGAGAGGCAGAATCATTTGGCATACCAGGGAGAGCGGCAGTATGTAGCTGACGTGAACCCCTACGACTGAAATTCTTCAGCCAAATGAATGACTAGTTTTCAGCCATGTGATTCCCCCCTTCCTCCCTAACTAAGGATACTAATGGCAGATTTTGAGGAAGGCAACAGGTTTCCATTGATATTCTTAAACACCCCCCCCCCAAAAAGTGCACAACTATTGTTGCTAGCTTTCAAGTGCATTACTTTATGTCTTGGAGGTCTTGAAAATGAGAATGGTTAACTGTGTTCCTACAGTCTCCCAGATCCCATTTCCAACTTTTACGATAGGCCAAAAATGGGACAAGTCATGCAGGCTTCTTGACAAATTGCAAGCTGCAGGCCTACAATGTGCTGAACCTCGCTTGGTGAACGATAGCTTCATATCCTTTTAAATGCAGAAAATATCCTATACTTCCTTTCATGGGCATCACTGATTATTTGGGGATATTTTTCTAAATAAAATAAGTGTGATGTGCTGGTATATTGCATAGATCTTAAGGGACCCTCATGTTGTTATCTTCCAAACTTTCATTTTCAAGATCTATCCCAACAGAGTGGTTCTACTACTAGGGATAGGATGTTTCAGATGTCCTGTTTGAAAGATACTGGAGGCTCAGATCTGGATACTAGATTAACGTCCTCAGTATTAGCCGTCTGTCTCCCAAGTTTAGGTGTGCCAGGCAATGTTTTTGAAAGATGACAAAGTCCTAAGACAGATTTATGAGTCTGTAGCTTTATTTGCTGATGTAATGGACGGATTTTTACGGTTCTATTAATGTTTTACTCCGATGCTGTAAGCTGCCAGAATTTAAAGAGTAGGCAGCATATAAATTTTGGTAAAGATCATCACTGCACTCCCTAGAATAGCTATAAAGTCTTTAAACCTTAGAAAATAAGAATGGTAGGTATCTGTATGTAACCTAGTCCTTTTTTTTTTTTTTTTGACAGATTAGCATCCAAATAATTCCCATTTTGTCACTAGCCACCACTCACAATGGGAGCCATTCTAAGTACCGTAGTCGTATTTCCTTCCCCCATATGAGGGGTCATTTGTAATATACAGTCAATATTTCAGATACGCTTATCAGTTGCAAGTTCCTCTTCTCATGTTCTCTGCAGAGTATTTTAAAGCAAGCTGTGGGGGAGAGAATCTGTTCAAAAAGGCTATGCATTTAAAGAGCAGCTTTATTCTAATCAAGGTATGGTAAAGAGAAGCCATCGCATTCATTAGCAACATAAGCCATCTGTTTTACTGAGCAGCATTTCAAAATTTATTGCACTGCAGTGTTACAAATTCCTTTTCAAAAAATAAAATAAAATGGGGTAATTCAATGTAGATTAATAAAACATACAGCCCCCTAGAACAGAAAGTCCAGCCCCAAAGAAAGAAAGGTAAAATAGTTCTAAACACTTAATTGGTTTTTAGTGCTTTTTAAACTTTGGTTTTATTAGTAACTATATTTTTTTGGTTACTTAATTGTACGAGCTGCCAGAGTCCACCTTTGATTGTATAAATCAAATCAATAAAACCACAACTAATCTGGCCTGCTTTATTTGCCTGAATTTAGGATGTGTCTCGATACTGTACCTTGTTCTGTGTATTTGGAGAAGTTTGGTACAATGCTGGCCCAATATTGTCATGCCACTGGGCAATACTTGGAACATCTCTTCATGTGCAATCAGTTGAAGTCCACACATCTTAAAGTTGAGACACGCTGTTGCATTAGATCAGGGGTCTTCGAACTTGGCAACTTTAAGGCTTGTGGACTTCAACTCCCAGAATTCCTCAGCCAGCCAGTCTCTTATTGAAGGAGCTGCTTCATGCTACTTTGGGGCACAGCTTGGAAGGTGCTGTGATTTAAACTGAAAGCAAAAGGTAACAAAACCATCGTCATCCAGTTTCTAAGACAGAAGATAACGAAATCTAACAGCGAAATTGATACTGAATGTTGAGCCCGCTAAAATGCACTCTCGGTAAGAGAAGTTAAATTGCAAATTGAGTCAAAGGACTTTTTTAAAAAAATCATTACCATGGAAAGGTAGTAAGAAAGAGAAACTAATCCAGTTTCTCAAGAGAAAAAGTGCCACACGGAAAGGGCCAAACCAGGTGGCTTTCAAGCCACAATGAGATAAGAGGTGGAAACAGTTCCTCAAATAGTGTTTCACCTTGACTTTCTCTATGTTTACTGTATTCTGAACTGATGACACTAGGCTGAATGAGCTAATTGTATTACAGCTTTATCTTCCTTCTAGCTTCCAACAGTCATTTGTAGTTTCTCTTTGTGGTGATTAAAAGCTTAAAAGATCTTTATAAGACGCCTCCCATGTGAATACAATCCCATTTCTCATACCTTTTGGCCCCAGCATGCAGAATGAATAGGTCTATTCAGTTTCATTGATGCAAAACAAAACACCCCCCCCAGCTTGTAATTTTGTCTCGGAAATACAAGAAATTTGTTTGAATTTTTTTTTGGGGGGGGGTTTAAATTGTTACCCCCCCTTTCCCCTTTCATGTTAGTTTGCATTTTAATGTTTGACCATTAAATCTAATAAAGATGTTATAAAAATATAGGAAGCTGTTTTTGCAATAATTTTATTAAGGATATTACATAAATATTATTTAAAAATCTAATACAGAAATACATCAAGGAATTTAGCTATGTGTGTATGTACATAAAAAAAATAAAAGTGCAGAAATCCCCCCCAAACAATTTTAATTAACTAATGTAAGGGTTTGAGGCCTTTTTCAATATTATATTAAATGCTTTGTCTTGCTTTTCTTTCTTTGAAAGCACTTTAAGTGGTTTAATATAATTAAAAGCAGAATTATGGCCATTAAAAGTGAGCAGTGAAATTTCTTCTGCAATTTAATACAAATGGCCTTAATGAATGTTGAAGGAGCAGAAAAAAGAGTAGGGAAGTTCTTTAAATTGTTCATTTTTTACAATCCCTGTGTAGTGATAGCTTTTACCTCAGCCTCGCATCACTTACTTGCTTTCATCTTATTTCAACATCCAGCTGCAAGAGCTATTTTTGTAGATTTTTCTCATCGCCTTGTTACAACATTATTGTGTATGGATTCTGAAACCCACATTTCAAGGCTGAAAGTACTTTGAAAGTACCTTGACCTAATACTCTATTCTAATAAGCTTAATTTATTCCTTTGTTTTTAAAGTGGGTATCACTTCTTTCTCCTCAAAATTGCAAAGATGTAACACAGGCTCTTGATTTGAACTGAGGGAATTAGAAAGCTTGGCTTGCCAACAATATCTTGGAAAAACAAAGTTATTTTACTAGCGGTCCATGCCTCTTATATTCTTATTTAAACTTTTGCCGGAGGAAAAAAAGCGAAATATATCTAAGAACAGAACAGTGAATGTGACATCGATCATGGTAGTTGACAAGGAGAATAAGTCAGGGGTCTCCAATCTTGGCAACTTTGTGGACTTCAACTCCCAGAATTCCCCAGCCCCAGCATGGTTGGCTGAGGAATTCTGGGAGTTGAAGTCCCCAAGACCCCTAGAATAGGTTGCTAAGAGGCAAGGACTTGACACACAATCTATTATTACTACTAGTTCACAACAATGTGAAGTCATAGCTACCAGTTCTTTCTAAGCTGATGTAGGCCTTCAAATGCATCAAGTTCTTCTCAAGCACCTAGGATGTCATATCGGAGTAGTATATGTGCAAATCCAAGCTGTGTGGCCTTTTACAGTTGATAGATAGAAATGTTGTCAATTCCCTGATTTTCTAAGTGCCGTCCAAATTTTTTTGGTGTGGCTCCCCGTGTGCCCGTAACCTCTGGTACAATTTATGCCATAATCCTTCAATGTCTATTTTCGGATCTTGATACTTCTTGGTCTCTTCCAGTTCTTGGGCTTCTATTCTGCTATCCCCTGGCATTGCCACATCAATTAAACACACTTCCTTCTTTTCAACCACAATTATATCTGGTGCATTATCAGCCAAGCCTTTTTTCAGTTTGTATTGGGAAATCCCACAATATTTTAACTTGCTCACATCAGGTCATAATGGCACAATTTTGAAACACCGTGTTCTTTTGTCTGTGGTTGTTCTTCCAGTTAATTCTACAGGGCTAGGGTTTTTCCATTTTCCACCCCATATTAAAATGGGGTGATGGATACAGGTAGTCCTCAATTTACAACTTAACCATTGGTTTAGTGAACAAAGAAAGGGGTGTCAAACTGCCAGCCCGCGGGCTGGTTGCATCATACCAACCCCAGCTCCGGCAATGCAAAAAATGTCGCGATATGTCGTGACACGTCACGTGACGTGGCGAGTTTGACACCTAGGATATAAAGTTACAAAGGCACTAAAGTACAACAGTTCCAGCATCCCCATGCTCATGTGATCAACACTCAGATGCTTGGCAAACAAGTGTTCATTTACAATAGTTGCAATGTCCTGCAATGATTCAATTAATCGTGGCAAGACGGCAGTAAAATCGGCCATGGCTCAGCGCCTGAAATTGTGGTCCCGAATTGTGGTCAGGATTATCTTTACAGCCCTAAGACCGGCCTGGCATGGGTGACTCTTCTGGGGGGTACATTATGGCCAGCATAGCTCACAGCCTTGGGAACCCCTCTCCACGATATGGAGGGGCTATTATCGTATCACACTTATTATTGGAGGAAATCTGTATCTTTAAGAGTGGACTACTTGATGGCCCATAATCTATGATTAGGGTCCACCTACGATAATATTAAATAACGTCTGGTCCAGCAGTTGAGGCACCAGACTAGGAAGCAGGAGACTGCAAGTTCAAGTCCCGCCTTAGGGATGAAGACAGCTAGGAGACCTTGGGCCAGTCATGCTCTCTCAGCCCAACCTCGCAGGGTTGTTGTTGCAGTGGGAAAAAAATAGGAGAATTACTGAGGTATGGGACCTGTATTATATAGCTGGTTAGAATTAAGGAATAAAAAAGTTAAGAGAAGTAATGTAAATAACTTAATAAAGGTAAGAGATCTAGGACATAGTATTGTTAAGGAAAAAGGGAAATGTATTGTGGGTTGTGTATTTCGTTTGCTTGAAAAATAAAAAAAAATATAAAAAAAAAATAAAATCAAAACAAGGATGAAACTCATCCCCGACGAGGCTTCCGGGGTTGAGGTCTGCAACCGGCGCCCCTCACAGAGGGAGCTTCCCCGCCCAGCAGGGAGGCGCCCCTTCCCCTTGGAGACCCCCGCTCTACCTGGGGAGCAGCGGCGGCGCCCTCCCTCTGCCTCCCTCCCGCCCCTGCAGAGCCCCCAGCCGGGCGGGGGGTCCGGGTGGGCCTCGGCGCTGCAGGGCGGCCTCCTCNCGCCGCCGCCGCCGCCCTCCTCCTCTCCCTGCTCCTGCTCCTCGGCGTGAAGCGAGGCCCCCGGGCCGCCATGAGGAGCCCCGAGGACCTGGAGGGCTTCGACGGCGAGGCGTCCAGCACCTCCATGATCTCCGGCGCCAGCAGCCCCTACCAGCCCACCACCGAGCCCGTCAGCCAGCGCCACGGGCTGCGCGGCCTCCGCTGCGACCGCGACTACCTGCGCGGGCCCGTCGGCCGCCTCAAGATCGCCCAGGTGGTGGGTATGCCGTCCCTCCCCGGCCAGACCCCCTGCCCTGCCCTGCCCTGCCCTGGGCCTCCGGGGTCCCAGACAGGGTGGGTTTTTTTGGGGTGGGTGGGTAGGTGGGGGTCTTCCCCTCTCTGCTCTTCCCCCCCACTCTTCCCCGCCCCCTCCCCAAGAACCCCTTGGGGGGGCGGCTTCCAGATGTTGCTTCAACCTTTTGTGCCCCTGCTCTATTTACCTTGTTTTCTAGGGAACATCTGGAGCCTGGCAGCCCCTGGGGAGGGGGAACTGTTTGTGTGTGTGTGGAGGATGGTGAGGATGGGTGCTGGGGTCCGAGGCATCTGGAGGGCATCTAGTTGGGGAAAGACCCCTGGTCTCTTCCCCTTTGCTGGCTTTCCCCTTGGTGCCCCCTCCCGCCCCCCAGGTTATGGAATAGCCTTGAAGGCTCCAGATGTCTGGTGTACCAGCCCTGTTGGGCTCCTTGCAACAGATGGAAGGAAAGGTGTGGGGACATCTCAGGACATCCTGAAGAGTTGACCTCCCCCCCATTCCTGATGATCCAGGGGGTGGGTTGCTGGGCCCTTTTAGCTTGGCATGGGTTTTACCCTTCATTGTTTGGCAGGGATATGCACTAACTATGGTTGCACCGAAGGGGAAGAAATTGTGGAGATCGGAGATCGTCCTTCCCCTGTGTTTACGTTCCCTATCCTTGTAGCGAGAGTAGCCCCTGGTGTATTTTTGAAGTGTGCGTGATGGGAATTGTTGCCCAGTGCTACGGGAGGGGGTATCACGTTGGATAAGACTCCTCTAAATACTCCCAAAATTAACACGTGTAGAAAATACAATCCATGCATTTTCACCTAACAGTTTTTTTGTAATATTTTTGTGTTTATTTGTATTTGGGTGAGTGTGTCAGTCTGAGGACGATAAAGTATGATAATCTATAAAAACCTCCACCGCAAATCTGTAGAATTACAAGGGTTCTTTTGTTGGTTGTGCCCAAGCCTGCGGAACTGGGGGAATTCGTATTCCGTTTGGAAATCTTTGGAATGAGATAAAAAGGATTATGCGCTGTACTGTCTAGCATATTACTTTTCTTTTTCTGCTTCTCTCCTTTTGAGCAACCACTTTAAGGTTATGGGAAGAGAAAGGAAAACTTTTATCAAAATAATTTTCTTTTCTTTGTTCCTCATTCCTATAATTTCACCAGCATTTCTTTTCAGTTTTGGTTCTGCTTGATTAGGGAGCAGCTTGGCAACAGGTGACATTCCATAAGGTTATTTACATTTATCCAGTTTTGCAAGGTCATTCTTTGTAACTAAGGGGGAAAAATAGGAGATAAGTTGTCCTTTTTTGTTCTCTTATCTCTTCCCTCAAGGTGTGTTCTAGAATCTAGAAAGTGTTTGCAATGCCTTTTCTTATTTTAGCTGATAGGCCTACTTTTGCCTTTGTTTCTGTAGCACTGCAATACTGACATATATGGGTCTTTTGGTCTCTGTGACTGTTTCATTTGAAATAAAAATATGTAAAACTGGAAATGCATAGAAGATGTGGTTTCTACTGTGTTAGAGAAATACGAGCAATTTTGTTATCATTTGTTTTTGTCTGTCTCATGTTGCTCAGATGTCTCCAAGTGGGATATAAGACTTCTAGAAGCTTTATTTCCCATTTGGTCAATAAAATTCCTCAAAACAGTTTTAGACAACTGATGGAAAACTTACACTAGAGCTGCTGAAGTATCACAGCAAAATGCAAAAACGATGAAAGCAGGTCTAAAATTAAAAATATTTCCAAAACTCCAGTGAGAGAAAGTGTTGACTGTTGGCGTCTTGGCAACATTAAGGCCTGAATTAAGGCCTCCCAGAATTCCCCAGCCAGCCATGAGAAACACTGGCCTAAAGGCTTTTTAAAGAGAAAGACAATTGAGCTTTTGGAGGGAATGTCATTAGTGTGTATTGAAAAATCCTTGTTCTGTAGCCCAGTGTTTCTCAACCTTGACAATTTTAAGGCATGTGGACTTCAACTCCCAGAATTCCACAGCCAGCAATGCTGGCTGTGGAATTCTGGGAGTTGAAGTCCACATGCCTTAAAATTGTCAAGGTTGAGAAACACTGCGTGTAGCCTAACACATCTGGCCTTGAAATTTAAGGAATAGTGGCTTCCAGTGATTTTATAATGGAAATTTAGCATGGGAAAGACTTTTAGTTTCTCTTTCCGCAGACAAGGCAGAAGGCAAAATGAGCTTGCAGTTCAGCTGGTGGAGTGGGGGAGGTGTTGAACCCGATATACTACTGTTATCTTCCAAATAATATATACAAATAATCCTTGACTTACAACAGTTCACGTAGTGACTGTTCAAAGTTACAAAGGCACTGAAAAAAGTGACTTATGACCATTTTTCCCACTTACGACTGTTGTAGCATCCCCGTGGTCAGGTGATCAAAATTCAAATGCTTGGCAACAGGCATATATTTATAACGGTTGCAGTGTCCCAGGATCATGTGACCACCTTTTGCAATCTGCTGACAAGCAAAGTCCATGCGGAAGCCAGATTCAACAACCATGTTACTAACTTAAGAACCACAGTGATTCACTTAACAGCTGTGGCAAGTAAGGTCATAAAATGGGGCAAAATTCACTTAACAACTGTCTTGCTAAGCAGCAGAAATTTTGGGCTCAGGTGTGGATATAAGTCAAGGACTACCTATAGGTCAGTGAGAACAGCAGCAATATGTTTACCAAGCCACAAAGTGATTTATTATAAATTAGTTTGGATAGTTTAAGGTGTGGCCACAGAAATAGCTACCACCATAGGCTATTAAACATGAAAAGTTTCTGATGTTGAATGTACTGTAATGTTGATTTTTTTCCTGCATTGACTGCTAGTTTGTTAATATCTTAATAGGCTTTAATTTTTCATCTGAGATTTGCATCTTAATAGCTTTGACATATACCCCCATCATACATCTCTTGGGCACGGCCAAATTGGAGAAAGGAAAATGGATGTGGTTTACTGATTTTGGTCTGACTGTAGCTTGTGTTGTGTTTGCAGCTTAGATGCCATTGTTCTTACCTCTGTGTTGGAACACTGCAGTGCCGATGTCCTAGTTAAGTGTTTTTGATGGCATTTCAAGAACAGAGATACACATCTCTGGGACACAAAATTTTGGTTTACTACAATGGAGTCATTATTTAATATTGTGTGCATAAACAGTTGTGACTTGGGCTTACATGTTCCAGTCTTCTTTTGTACTCCTTAATTGGAATACTATAATGGCAGCAGCAAATCATAGTTTGGGCTCCAGCTCAGTGTGCACAAATGAGCGTTTGCTGCCTTAAGACAAAACTTTTTCCTGTTAATCTGAATTAGAAGTTTCCGGCAGCATTTTTTAATTAACAAGAATGCAAACTTGTTGTTCCCATTTGCTCATGTCAGGATGACCTAAATATACAGGATGCTTATTTTATGGATTTAACTAGAGAACTTTTAAGGGTGCATTTTCCAGGGCCAGCTTTATGAACTTGGAAAAATATCTGGGTGACTGGTAGAACTTGTCCAGCCTGAGAAAGGTAGCTGGTATGTTTATACTGGAAAGAACTACGTCCATGTAGTCATTTCTTTCTATTTCTGTTCTAAGAATGCAACAAAATCTCCTATGTGGAAAATAACTCATACCACACTGGCTACTGGAACTAGATTTTTGTTGTGGTTTAACAAGAAGACATTGTTGCATGGCATTCAAGTAAATATATCACCCCTGATACATGCAGTTCTGTTTTTATTTGAATTCACTGATCACAAGATGATAAAAATCCACATTCTGGTATTCCTTAGGCCCCTGATTTATTGGTTTGAACATTTAAAAAATGCTAAGCTTGCAGTCATTTCAAAACAATTTGAGGTTTATTATCTGATTGGAAGAGCTGTCATGTACAACTATAATCTGACATTTAAGATTTGTCCTTTGTTTTCTATGTGTTTTGTTTAAATTCAAACCTACTATTTAAAAAAAATCAAGCAAAATGCAAGATGAACATAATTTAAAATTAGTGTTTATGTATTACTGCACTTTAAAGTCACATTTATTGAGATGTTATTATGAGATCAAAAGGAAAGCACAATTATTTTCAGTAATTAGATTTTATGAGCAAATAATACAAGAGCAATTGTTGTACTAATTGTCTTTTATGCCAGCAGGATAAAGAGTTTGGAAACTATAAAATGCAGACTCTATGGCTGCTTTTTAAAAACATTTTAAAATTTTGGAGCTCCTAATGTTTTGCAATTAACTATATTACAACAAATGTATTTATTTATTGTCTTGATGCTCAAGTTAGCTTATCTAAGCTAAATTGCACCTTTTAGCTGAATTAGTTATAGAACTTCAATTCTGTACAGTCAACTTGATATTAAATTTTTTTTTCAGGGAAAAAAACAAGGTTGCTGCTTACAACAAGACACAGTAAGATAATAAGAATTGTACACTGATATTTCAGTTACAATTTATTGCTGTTGTGTTTGGAGAAAGGTTATGTTTTCTACGTAACTTTTTGTTCTCCAGATTCATTTGTAGTTTTCTGCATAATTGCAAATAGCAATTTTATCTCCCAGTTGCTCAATTTGGTGTAACGGGCTCTTTTGGAAAATATTTACTTGAGGCCCCCCACCCCTCTGTGACTATATGGTGGTACAATATATAGATGGTGGTATTGCACTTCAGGGTGCTTAGTGACACATTATTGGCAGGCGGTTTAAACACAGTGTGGGAAGCTTTGGCGCTTTAGGGAACGCGAAATGTTTTTTTAAAATTCAGACAGTGGAAAATTTGTTCTTTTGGGGCATAATTTGAAACACATTTGTGTGGCTTTGTTTTGACCAAGGGTATAAGGTAATTTTTTTTGAATTGTTCTATAAAAAAACCCTTGAAGTATCCTGGTTCTGTTGGAATTACAACCAGGAATTACTTCAGGAATTTGAGGTCCTTGTTGGTATCATTCTGTTACTATAAGTTCCT